CTCTCTAGATCTAGTTTTCAGATTGCGAAGGTTCGCGGGTATTCTCAACATTTTTGAAAGTTTCCTCTTTTAAAATTGCTAACAAAATCCAATAAAAACCACGGCTTAGGCCAAAACATTCTTCTTGGCTCTTCACTTACTTTCTAATTTTTTTTGTCTTGTAAAATGACTTTTTCCACCCATAAATATTGATTGAAACGAGTTTCTTACTTTATAGATTGCTATCCTGATTTCCATCCAATTAAATTATTCCAAGGTCTTAGCCTTGTCATTGACCTCAATTTTTTCACATTTGGCGTTAGTCATTGAAGCGGTACCGCTTTGCCTCCTATCGAACAACACGTCTAGAAAAATCTCACATTGATTTTTCAAGGCAGTTCTATAGGTCACATGCTTGTTTAATTTGCTAAATTTTGCATAAGAAAACTAGTTATATCGATTTTAGTTGACAAATTCCTTCAAAATTTCTTGTTTATGAGACAATTTCTAGTAAACGTCGTATCGTGTTACGTTCTTCTTGAGCTGAGATATTTTTGACGGCCATAGTCCTAGCCCTCAGCTGTTATGAGAGCAGTTGTTTTACTTTCGTCTGCACGGGTCTATGTCGCTTTGCCATTGTCCAGATATATATATATATATATATATATATATATATATATATGACTGTGAATTTACCCTTTACCTACTTCATTTACCTATTTACCTATCACTTACCCTTTGTTCCCTTTTTTAGCTGCCCCATTTCACTCATTTTCCATCATTTACTCCCAATTAGCTATCCCTTTTACCCACCTTTACTTAATTTCTTATGTCATAGTTTATATAGAACTCCTCTCGAGTTGAATCAATTTCTACGACTTAGCTAAAGTCAAAAATTAGAAAAGTCAAAAAAAAATAAAAAAGTCAAAATTCAAACCTTTCCATTATTGGCATTCGGCTCAACTATAGATGAGTCGTTTCGTAACTAATATCTGAGATTGCACATGCTGCACATCTTACGCGTCCTTTCTTGGATCCGCTTGATCATGAAGAGGAATTTTTCCGAGCAAGCACTTCGCATCGTCTTTTTCTTAGTCTTTGTTTTTTTATAGGTATGAGAGGATTGCGAAGCAGCCTAAAATTCAGAATGAGACGCATTATATGATATTGTGTGCAATTGCATATATTACCTTTAATTCAACGGGATTGGCTTCTGGAAGGCGACTCGTGGCAAGAGTGCTCTCTAATCATTCCCTAGCCTTGAGGCCTCGAAATCCCACCCAGCCTCCAATCCCGTTGAATCAAAGGGTAAAATATGAAATGCTCCTGACTATAGCTCTCATTTCTTTCAAAATCAGGGATTTACAGCTTCACAGGGAATGACTTTCTTTGCAAGAACGGTTTTATTCAAAAGAAAAACTCGTGCACAGTTTCAAGTCACAATACAATGTTCAGCTTCTGCAGCTCTCAGTAATGCAAATTGACATAAGCAGCAGCCTGAAAGCAAGTGAATCACCGCTATAAATCTTCATGTCGTGTTGAAACATTGGAGTCACGCTAAAATGTGTTTTACGATTTCCGAACAGGCGCCCTAGCCTCTATGTCTCGCTTGCACGATACATCGGTTATATCAGTGACATTTCAGTGCTGATATTTTCTCCTCTTTGGTTTGTTTAAGAGATAAAAAGTTCCTTGGTAGTTCGCATAAATATTAGGTTGGCACGAAAGTTCTTGCGTAATTCAAACAAAATTCAATAACTTTTCAAAGACTTAACCTAAATTTACAATCTTGTATGCTAAAAATATTAGAAGTCTTACGCTTCATGATGGATGTTTAAGTATAAGATTCCATGAGCTAGACATCAAGAACGAAGCTCTCGAATATGAGGCTTAAAATTTTGCGATTTTGAGTTTGGTGCCAGAAAATCGCAGAGTGCCGCTAGCTAGCCGAAAAAAATCTATAGAATTTACTTACACAACAAAAGTCCATATGTTACTTTGGAAGGCTTTGATCTTGCACGGTGAAGCAAAAACAAAAAATTCGTGAAATAAGTCATTTTGCGGAAAAAATCCCCTCATGTCCGCAGTTTTCCGGCGAAGACACTTTTTTACAATCGAGAAAACGTCGCAAGGCTCTAAGTAGGCACTACGTCTAATTTCTGGTTGCGAACTGTGTTTCTGTGGAAAAAATTGGAGCGATAAGATGTTTTGTCCTGTGAAATGAGAATTTTCACAAATTTTTTGTTTTCGCGTTTTCATGCGAGATCAAAGCCTGCTAAAATAACGTATGAATTTCGCTGTGTAAGTAAATTCTACAGATTTTTTTTCGGCTAGCTAGCGGCACTCTGCGATTTTCTGGCACCAAACTCAAAATCGCAAAATTTGAAGCCCCATATTCGAGAGCTTCGTTCTTGATGTCCAGCTCACGGAATCTCACGCTTAAACATCCATCATGAAGCGTAAGACTTCTAATATTTTCAGCATACAAGACTGTGAATTTGAGTTAAGTCTTTGAAAAGTTATTGAATTTTGTTTGAATTACGCAAGAACTTTCGTGCCAACCTAGTATCTCCCTTATTACTCACCAAGTTATCATGCAGCAAAAAGGTGACACATTGTTTTATCAACTGCTAGACTTTAGTCATGTCATCTCCAAATATGTGCGATTGCACGCAATGCACGGATTGCGCGTGCTATCCTGAATTTCGCTCATCGGTTCGCGCACATGTCCTTGCAAGTTTCTGCTGAATATTGAATGCCTATAAGAATCAAATTAACAGAAAGAAGCTAGAAGAACACTTACCCTCAAGAAGTGGGGCCCTGACATCAGATATTGGCATACGGGATCGAACGAACAATGAATGTCGTGTGTGCAATCGCACATACTAGGAATGCAACGATGGTTGTCTCAATGTTAGTGTCACTTGCAACAGCGGTTCGGATCGCTCCGCCGCCTCGCTCGGAGCACCGTTCGCGGACGGGATCCCAGGTTGAGCGGATCGCTTAGGAGTTAAGTTTCCACAGATGCAACGGGAACTTCAAGGGAGACGACCGCGCAAGCCCTAGCCGTTGCATACGACACTGTCATTGAGACAATGCTTTCAACGCCTTCGAGTCACGATAAAACGCCAAGTGGTTAACAGTCTAGCGACTCGAAAGCATCGAACCGGTCATCACCACGTTTGCGACAGCTGCGTCCACAAATCTTCTCTTGCATGTTTTGCAGGTATTAAATAACGAGGGGCGCACATGTCCGCAATCACACTCTGCAAAAAGTTTGATGGACAGATTATGTTTTGCATCGTTACAGCATAGAATGGGTCTGTCATTACCTGGCAATTTATATCTGCTTAGTCATTAGCACAGCATAGCTATCGCTGTGTGGTTGTTCTGTCCAAATCTGTATAACTGTTTGTGAAAATCTCGTCCTTCTCAATCCTATCATGCAAACAGAATTTTTAACCACATTTTGCACCAGCTCCAATCGTTGATTTGGCCTACAAGGCGCCAGTGCTTAGCCTAGTGATCTGACGGGTTAATCTAGTGCCAATACGTTAACGACAACACTTGCGCGTGAAAAATGGCGCCAGAGCGCACAACCTCAAGCTTCACTTCCCATACCCATTTACCCTACATGTGTTGTCACACTATATTAACCGCTGATCTACTAATTAGCTGCGATTCAGGATTTTGTTTTGATCTATGGGTCTAGGAAACCAAAATCAAATGCGTTTGAGGATGCGATGTTATTGTCATTGCGAATTTTGATGACCATTTACAAAGCAATTGCAGTTTTATAGGTTTTTGATAGTGATCGTCAAGGACAATGCCGTGTTTTTTACTGTCCTTATTGATGTCATGTGTGCTGTGTTAGTTTTAGGACAAAAATCTAGGGACCTTTTGAGGGGGCGATGGTTGGGATATCACGTAGTATTTGAGAAGTGAAAAAGGTCCCAGGTGACTGAAAGGTATTACGGCGCAGGACAGAGTTGACGCCAATTTTGTGGTACTTAGTGTGCGTTTACACAAAGAGTTTGCAAATAATCTCTATATGTTGGTATTTTCATACTTTATAGATTTTCCTGCATCAGACTTTAGCAATAAATAATATAGGTAAATCACACACCACTCTATTTTTATTTTTTGTTCCAAGGGGGCATCACAGACTAAAACAGCTGCACCTGTTATCGAATAAAAACAACTTCGATTGAAATGTCTAAATGAGTCATAGTTCGTTCTTTGAGTTTCAATAAACGCTAGGTAGATGGCAACACGTTCAACTCACTGTTATATATACTCCCGCGGAAGCGTTTTAGATAGACATGAAAGTTCATTTCCTTCAGTAGCCATACAGAAAGTCTGCAATTGCGCCTTGGAAGCTGCAGCGAGGATTTGAATCTGCGTTCATTGAGCTTTTGTCTTGCAATTAGAAAAAGATCTGTGTAGCATTCTTTTTTCCCCTCTCTCTCAATATTTGAATTACGCTCATTTTTTATGTCTATTCGAGCAAATCTCAATATTTGAAGTTTCGTTAACCCCAGATGGAAGCTGAATTGGAAATGATTAAACTTATTGCTCTTTGTCTGCTTTCTCTGTTCTTCGTTTGAGGCAAGATTATCACATATCTCACAATCAGTTTCATGTCTTATCTGCATGGTAGCTTCAAAGAGTGGGAAATAAATGAATAATGTCAGCTTCTAGTGCAGTTAATGTCTCAGCGCTGATTGTATGCAATTATTTCGTCAGCTAGTTAATATTTAGGTATACTTTGATTACAGAAGGTTACTGAACATCTTCTGTTGCAAAAAAACCTTCATTTTTGATTAATCCACTCACATCAAAGAATAAAAATTTATCCCTTCTATGGTCAAATTACTTTTTACTTTTCAATTGTTCGCTCGTCTTGATTCTTCCGTGCATTAGTTGTTTGAATTTTTTATAGGGAATCAATCAAGGCGCATAACTACTACTTTTACCTGTCGCAGCTTTCTGTTTTAAAGCTATATAAATTCTTTTTCAGACGCCACTCCCAAGAACCAACCGCATCAACAAGTCGTGCGTTTTCGCTCACTCCACTTCGGGTTCATTCTCCTTCCTCTGCTGTGCTAGCATTCGATTTTTCCTTCCACGATAGTTTTCTCGAGAAATTATCACAGTCGCCATCGTTCAAGGAACATCGGCCAGAAGTCGCTGGATCAAAGGGTTAGTCAATTTGTTTGCTGTATTTTTTCTATTTCAACATCTGGTGGTTTTACTGAGTCATGTTTATTCATTGGTCAGCTCGTAGGAACGTATTTATTAGTCACTGCAACAGTGACATTATCCCAAGTAGATAAACATTCATTTTCATGTGTTTTGATTTGCTCTCAGTTAACAATCGGCTTTTGATGACTATAGTTGATGCAAATCACTAAGCAAGAAGTTGCGCATCGCCGTCTCATTTGATTGATTTTAAGTATCTAACAACATGAAATTACATGACTTTGATCCAGATTTTCAAAATCTGTTAACTAATCGAATGATGATAAATAATGTAAAATTTCAGTGTGTGAAATTTCAACAAAAATTGCCATCCCTCGTTTAGCTAGTGCTAGTGTAGTATTTGTCGCTATCGAATCTGGTACCCACATTTTGCACTTTCTCTATTGTTGTGCGTATCAGGCAAACATAATCCGATAACCGCTTTGAAATGCTACAAGTTTTGCACGCCTAAATGGAAAGTGATGTCCTCTAATTTAGCTTTTGAATTGCTGATGTTTTTTCTTTGATTTTTTTCATCATTTCTTTGCTGGCCTTACAACTTGCACGACATTTGTTTATTTTGCATCTCAAAAAACCTTTACGCTGTAAACCTTGTAGTCCTTGAACAAACATCAATCATGCATCAGTCTTTGCAGAATGTCTTGATCGGTCTTTATTCCAGCAGTTTCCATTTATTTCAGAATGCTCAACATCGTTTAATTTCCAACGTCAGCGAGCCATGTCCGAATCATTAGTAACCAGCATTTCTACTAGCGTACCGGGTGCAGGTCATGATGCCCTGAACATTCCGTCGTTTTCGTCCGTGCAGTCATTGAACTCCGTCAGTGATGGTTAGTTATTACCTTTTCCCTTTTACCTTTTTTGGAAATTTTGTTCCCTGCATTTTCTGTTATGGTTTTTACACAAGGAATCTTTGATTTGCGGTTAGAAAGTTTTATCTAACCTTGCCAGCCTCTATTTCTATAGTTAGCGCGCACTTTCTGATGAAGTCATTGGGCTGCGAAGTAACGTACTGGTCAATGAACCGGTTTTTTCGTACCCTCCATTAGTGAGGTAATTGCGCTCTCCCGAGTTTTACAGCAGTTATGCGGCAGCCTACATATTTGTGCGAGCGAATGGGTAGAGGGAGTCTCAGTTGTTTGATCTTCTGCGATAAAACCCAGTTCTAGAGAACTTCTGGGTTATGACATGCTCACGTGTCTCATTGTCAGTAATGATGAACCACTTCCTCTTTACGCTTGCATGATTCCCACTATCACTGCGTATCTAATATCCTCCTCAACAGGTTATATAAGTTTTCTTGTTTCAGGGATTGATGGAACTCACTCATGCGATTCCCTTGACGTTATGGCCAAAGATATGGATGACCGATCCGCAGTCGTGCATGGATCTGATCCTATTCTTACCAGTCTTAGTCGAAGGATCTACTCTTTTGGTCGGTTTTGTTTTGTGAATACCGTTTTTTGCACAACAAAATGTCCGTTTTGCCCTTTTGTGTGCACAACGGTACAATTGGAAGATCTATCTATCTTTAGAAGATATGCGAGCGATTACAATGCAGCAACGTTCATTTTCGGCCGAGGACACATCCTGCGACAAAGAGAACCAGGTGTGAATAGCAATTTTTGTGCATCGATCGCTTGTTTGAACTCTTCAGAAGCAACATCAAAAAGTTTGCTTTAGTTCATTCGGTCTGTTGAAAGAGATGCGTCACAAAAGGAGATTGATAATAAGAATATAGAAGAAGAGGTTGCTGTTGAGCTTCCGACTGGCGATTCTAGCGACACGAGTAGCTGCGGAAACCTTGACATTACCGAAGAGACTCTCGTAGCTGAGGTATTTCCATTTAGGAGTTGCATCACGAGAGTTTTCGAATTTTTTTTTGTTCAGAAAGAAAGTGAGGAGAAAGAAGTTCCATTAGCGGTCGTAGCAGTAGCGGCTGTAGCGGTAGCATCGCAAGAAGAAGAGATCGCGTCGAGAGAAGAAGAGATCGCGTCGCGAGAAGAAGAAATTCGTCGAATCGAAGAAGCTCGATACTGTTCAACAGACGGTGTCGAATTGCCTCGCGCTTCTGAACCAGCTGTGACGACGCTTGTTGACGACGAGCGAAGTGAGTCGTGTGGATGATTTACATGTGAATGTAGATTCAGAATTCCACATTATGTGCACATCAGCACTGTATGGAGTGAATACTGATAGGAATATCTTTCTCGATTATGATTGGTGTTTTCAATAATTCTCTCTCACACAACTGCATTTATTATGCACAATGTAGATTTCATCGCGTATTGTCACTCACATCTCGCGATTGAGTTGCATGTACAATCTGAACTCACCCTATTCGAACACTTTTTTTTCGTAAGCGCTCTATCTAATGCTGAAAAAGCCCCTATGAAAAATGGCCGATTTGGCTTGATACGATTGATTGACGATGAAGCGATAGAACGAAGCACAAATATCGTGCAAATCTACCCTTTTCGGCGGTGTCGCATTAGTCATGCTGAGCCCTAGCACAGCTACGTCGTTGCAGCCGTTCAGTCTGTATAAAGTTTAGGCGCTAATGCGATGATTGACGCTCATCGTAATTATTAAAACCTAATTGCAACTTCTTTCACTTCTACTAGTTTTTCCCTTAGTTGAGAAGTTTCCCTATTAGTCTTTTCTCTTAATTACAACTTGGTAACTTTACCGCAATTTTTCCTATAGCAGAATCTGTTAAGAGCGATTACATCTCTTCTCCCGTGATTTTGACTGTTCTATAATACTTGTTCCTTTCGGAAATCAGATGGGCGTGGCTTTTTAAAGTTTGCGGCAACCGTATCCCATGCCAAGAGTATTTTATGTTTGTTCTAAGGATGAAATGTACTATTTAGGTGCGTCACCGACCCATCTCCTTGACGAATCAATGATTCCACTCGTTGGAACACCATCACCTCATACAATGACATATTTTCCTATGGAAGATGTGTTTGCGTTTGTGGAACGACGACCGAATCAAGAGCTGCCCGCAATCACTGAAGAAAACGAGGTCTTTCATTCTTGTTATAACTCTACTTCAGTACAATTCCAGAAATTCTGGGGAATATTTGCAGGATGTTTGGATTTTTGTTGACAAAAACATGCTTTGAAATGTATTTTGTTATCAACTCCCTTTTAGGAACAGACGCTAAGGCGACATCGCCCTAGCGACGTCACACCTGCCGAGCGACTGTATCGTGCCAGCTCCATGATCGTTCCGCAAGAACCCAATGAGTATGCACCTGGTGTAAGAAGCGTTGGACATGATTTAGATATGATGGCAGGACCACCCGACTATTCTTACAATGCCGGCCCTGTGCATAGGTAGGCTTTCACGGCGTTTTATATGGCCCCATTCGTTGCAGAACCTTGCACGAAGAGTTATGAGAATAAACTCCGGTGCTTAGTTTGCACAAGCAAATGTGCAATTATTTTGCAGGAGAGCTATTAGCGATAATATTGGAGCGCAGAGCTCTACCCGTAAAAATGAACTACGCCGGACGCAAGAAATGGAAGAGATCGATCAAGCTGGCATGTACGAAGTGAGTACTATCTAGTGCATCGTCTCGATTCTTCTCTCATTCTCAGTCATAACATTTCGTGTAGGACGTTGCTATGCGTTCGTCAAGATCCATTGGAAGGGCAAGTTCCGTGGTATCGAATAGATGTAAAAGTCAGGTGAGTGGTCATTTTTAGACGATTTGACTAGAATGGCATGAAAGCATGATAATTCTAGGTGTTTCTGCCCGATATTGGTCTAGGCGATCCGAGCAAATCAGCTCCATCTTTGGATAGAAATTTAAGCAGCTCAGATCCATCGGTCAATGATGAGAAACCTCTCAGTAAGTTCAGTTAATGATGTACTTTCTCATACTGTACACTACATAACGACTTTTCTCTTACTGTACAGTATCTTTGATATGATAATGCATCTAGTGATTTGATTTTATTATTCGTTTGACGTAGAAGTAGTCAAGGAATAATTAGCGATAGCTTGCATTGATTGTGCATTCGCTTTAGATTTGGTGGCGAATTCCTCACTAGAATCTACCATTTTGAGATCCCTTTGTCAACCACGAAATCTCCCACAGGGTTTGCTTTTTGATTTTTTCTTTGTTATTCAAAAAAAGCTGATGACTCTGCGAGTTCCTTTGAGCACTTTCTCTTTCTATGTTCTCTACCAGCTCATCATATTGTGATTAGAAAGTTTGTTGATATGAGCAATTTATTGCAGAAGCACGCGAATGCCCTCCTCCTGTCGTTCTCACCCGCAAAGCGTCTAGCATGCAAAACGATTGGAAGAAACAGCTTTCTGCTGGTTCACTGTCACAGCCTGTAAGTAGTTATGCTATGCTTGTTTTTCTCAGGATCTCTATTCAGGAAATGCGCTTAGTGTTTTTATCGAATGATTTGAAGTAAGTCATGCGTTGTGTATGTGTCGTGACTATAGTCGTACAGTGATAGATGCCATTTTTTGTATTTGAACGAGTAAATTATACCGCAGTTTATATACCTCCTTTTTAATGCTCATATGGGTTTTATAATTACAGCTTCTACAATTTTTTTGTAGCAAAATTTTTGGTCTAGTTTGAAGCTACTGTAGGTTGCCCTGTCAGCTAGTTTCGCAAAGAAAGTTATTCCTTTTGTATACCGTTCCTGGTCGCGATCGATGCGCAATCGAAGCGTTAGGAAGCACAGTCATTGCCTGCTGAACATCGATAAATCACCATAGAAGGTAGCATTTATTCATAACTAACTTTGCCAATTTACAGACACCGGTGCAGATGCGGAAGGAACCTGTTGGAAGGGAGAGTCGACCGCAGTCCATGACCCGAGGCGACAAGTATGTTTTTATCCGGTTTTCTTTAGTTCTATGGGAGTGTGGTGTGAGATTCATCTTTGTTTTCACCTTTATGTCTCCTACATTTATTCCATTGTGTGTAGATGTCTGTTTTGCGGTGATTGGGATTTGTGTTGGGAGATTTTACCGTACATTCTTGCCATGATTTTTGGGATCAATCTAACATGGTCTCGCAAAACCTTGGGAGCGATTCACTTCGCTTTTGCTTAAAATTTGCTTTTAAGCTTCGTTTCTCATTGCGCGATTGCCTATGTTATGTAATTCTCTCTTTTAAGCTTTGTTTTCGCGCATGCCTGTTGACACTGTGCTATCCGAATAGTTTCTAGTGATGATGTAACCACGCCGTCCCCACCATCGAGTATCGCTTCGTTTTCGCGTGGCGTGAATTTCATGCGTCGTAGCTGGCGAAGACTTGCGGGTGGTGATTTGCGACGAGATTCAGTAGATGTGCCAGTTTTCCATTCGTTGGATGACACAGTAACAGTTTGCGATGGCTCGCATCCGATGTCGTCAGCGGAATGCGTATGCATAACCGCTGAAGACACGGCAGTCCAGAAGCCGGTACGACGAGTGGCGACAATACCAATACGCCAACGGACGTCAGCACACCTTAAGCCGAGGTGGGTGGTCCGACAGTTTGTGCAGGAAGACAAACGGATGCGCATTGCACAATCGCTGTCTAGTAGAGACAACCTTGCCACAGCCTTTTCACTTCTAATTGCACGATTTGCACCTGCGCCATTTTCTTGCTGATCCCTCCTTCGCTGCTGCAGAGTCGCTGCTGCTGATGTTTGCTGCTTTCTCATTTTTCGTCTCCAAAGCTTGCGAGCCTGTTATTGTATGCATAGTGATGTCCAGAGCTCCAGAAAAAAGTTTATGGATTCTGACTGCTCCGTAACGGCCACTTACCGAATGCCCTCTTGCAACTTCGTTACCTACTTCTCATTTGTACCCTATTCTTTCTCAGCTAAGCTTTTTTGAAGAGAACTTCAATCTCCCATACTAATCTATCTCAGCTCTCTTTCTACATATTTCTTAATGTCCAGATTTCTTCGTTTGAGTTCACACAAACTGCAGTCATTATGTAGTATACAGAAAATTGCGCATTGTTTTTACAAGGTTTTTTTAATAACCATTTACTGATTGTGGTGAAACTTTTTTGTTATCTGTGTGGTGAGCACTAAAATATGGCGAGGTTAGAGTCCACTTATACGTACGAATCACCTCTGTTGTTAAAAATCTTCAGTTGAACAAACAGCAAAGTACACTGTGAAGATGAAGTCTGGATTTAGTCGTCTTGGGCGCTTTCATGTCTTCCATTCCAATCTATATTCCGAACAGCATTTTTAAACTTATGGAGAATTATTGTCGAAAAACGATGAAATCCACAAATCATTGATCTTTGGCTGTGCTGGCAAGAGGGACAGCTCTCCTAACGCTTTTTGGGAGTTAGGAGGTATCACTTTGACGAGGAAGTAGTAGTGGTTCAAATTCTTTCCATGTCACCGTCTGTACTTTGACATTGACTGATGATTGTCAGTCTACGTTAACCATGATGGGAAAAACAAGGATCACAAAAAACTGGAGGTATCATCCCTTTGGTATGCCTCGCTTTACTAACGCTTTGGACAGCTTTTGTCAGGACTTGGACACTTTTTTTGAAAGTTACCTTTTTGGGTTTTCCATTTTTCTGATTAGGCCTTTAGCAATTTCAGTTTTCCACTCAACTTATCTTATCACTTACTACATGGGATAGAAAAATTCAGCGATTCTGAAACACATTTCGTAGGTATCTTCCGGGCATATCTGGGTAGGTGAACTTCTTACTCAGTCGATGGGTAGTCTTGGCTAAGCCATGACAAACGGAAGCTTGTATGATGCATTCATAGTTAAGAAATCCAACTCTAAACATCAGCATAGACCGTAGTTTTCCCAAGAAGAGAAATTGGGGTTTTTGAGTAGGATAAAGAATACGTCCATTGCCCAGATTTGCATGGATACTGCGTTTGAGACTTGGTAAGGTTGGTATTTCAATGCGTTTGCTTTTGTAAATTTTTATACTTTACTGTGTCCTGATTCGAATCCTTTTGTTGGGGCGTTTTCCATAAAAACCAATTTATGCACAAAAAATTAGAATAATCAAAAAATTATATCATTAATATGAAATAATAATCAAATGATAATAAAAAATCGATATATTTTTTGTCATTTATGTTAGGCTTATCCGTTGCGTCTATTGCTGCATATGGCTGACGTCCCTTCACTGCTTTCCCGCCTAATCGTGCCGCAACCGCTCGCAGCCGTTTGTGCCCCTCATTTATTTTGTGATGTTAACGAACCCATTTTTGGCGAAACAAACTGCAAAAGATAATACTTTACTTTAGTTGCATAAATAGTGATGTAGCAGTGGAGATGTGCGTATACCAGACGTACATAAATCGTCTGTGATTTGATGTTTTCGGCACATTTCTTCTGGTGTACGCTCGTTCAAAATAAGGCCAAACTTGCGTAGAACTTGCTATAGCTAAGAGACTCATTCCCTTGAAAACCATAAAATTTGACGAGATGGTTGAGACATTCCACATTAAAGTTTATTATTTGTCCTTGTCACAACAATAAAAGTTCTTCTTCATTCAGTCGATCGTAGACAAACTCTTTCGTCATTTATGGGATTTACATCGCTGAATTTAGAGCTTTTGGGCTAATCTTTAACTTGGAAATATTTGACTTTTCAAAAAACAAGAAGTATAGCTTAGTGGTGCTGGTTGTAATTTCTCGAAATTATGAGTCCAAAATAAAGTTTTTTTTCTGAGGAGGCGTGCAAGAAGTTTTTTTCACTATCGAGGGGTGGCATTAACGCTTTCCAAATATATTTATGGGACCTCTGAATCTTCAGCTAGTTTGCCTTTCTTTTTGCGGAAAAAGCTTTTACGAAGGTAACCTGATTTTTTGCAAAATTTCTCACAACGTATGCATGCGGAAGAAGGGGAAAGGGGGATGTGCCAAATTTTTCTAAAAAATTTGAAAAATCATGTGAGCTATTTACTAGTAAGTGCAACTCACTTGACAGTTTTAACTCATGACCACTTTCCATTTTGCGTCTCACTCTCTGCAAAGCTAGAACTAGTGTGTATGCATTATACTATCTAGTTTTTGAAGTGTTGGGAATGGTGGAGGAGGAGGGAGGGGATAAGAAAATACCTATCCTCTTTGCGTAGGTCGTACGTATCATATTCGGCTTTGTGCACTTTTCACTACATCTATAAAAAATCTGTCCCCTTCCAATACTGCTAGTTTTTCCAGCTTTGTTCAAACTAGTAGCACACTCCAGTTTGCATGCATATGTGATGCTTATATACTAACATGGTAGTCATTTTTGTAAAGAAGTATGTGTAAAAGGCTAGAATTGGGTGCTTTTGAAAATTCGTCGTAGCGGCAGTTCTTTTTTCCCTCTTCAATTTTGAAAATTTTTCCCATTGAGCTCAAGATTTGTCATCTGCACTACAATAACAGCGGTATCTCCTGTACTAACCCACGGTCCATCGGTGTTTTTGTGCTCTGCTTCTGTCCCGGAAAGTCTCTTGCTTGGGCAATACCTGTTGTAACAAAGCTGTCCTAAGTATGCTCATCCCTATCTTCCTTTGATTTGTTTGTTTTATCCTTTACTCTATGGTCTTGCCTAGTTAAGGTTTTCGAAAATATACTTTAGGTCCCAAGATCGAATCGAGAAGAAAAAGACGAAAAGCGGTTCGGATACATTTTCATTCGGTAGCCTATTTGGTGCGAATAAAGGTGCTAGAACGAAAAAGGTGAGATGTGTTTTTTTTTTCAAAGTTATTTTGTGGTTGAGTGAGTCACTCAAAAATGTGTTATGATATTTCAATTTCCCCATTCTTCGAAAGATCCTGCCTTTGCTCAACAAAATTTGGACTATGATTTTGGTCGATTATTCTACTTAGGAAAGCACAAGCTAATGTATTGTCCATCTCCCTCCCCTCCTCAGAAAAAAGAACTTTGGGATTATAGACACTGCCCAAGCGAGTTTGGGTACTTAAATTTCCTACGTTGGAACTATTTGGGAGACTTTAGCCAAAAAACTGGCCAAACGACTGCTCATATGATTCATTTATGGCCAAAAAAATTATCTTTAAGCTCTAGTCCATGCCGTATTCAAGCGGACCAAACGGCGTCATCGCGGTAATAGAAAGTACAGTCTGGGCGAAGGTTTAGCGTTGAATTTCTTGGCCATGAGTAAGTCATATGAGTTGCCGTTTGGGCAGCTGGTTTGATTTGAGCCTCCCAATGAACGCAAATCTACTTGTACAGCAAGCATATCTTAGAAATTATCGAATTTTGAATTCCTAAATTTTTTGAGAATTTGTATTTTGATAATTTTGAATCGAACTTGATTGAGGTTTTGAATGTCCCTCTAGCTATATAAGACAGACAATCGTGACTCAGTGATCCTTATTTGCACTGACCGTTAAAAGCAATAAAAACGAAGAGCGTGATCTGTCCCATCCTTTGCCTGTCCGTTCGCCCGTTTCACATACTACAATCTTCTACATGATGCATGCCGGTCATCGTACCATCCGCTTTCAGAAGAGTGGTATGGATCGAAGCTTGGAAACGGTTATCTCTACATTCCAGTCGAAAGCTGTTGGATCTGCTGTGTCACTGCCTACTGTAAGTTACCTGTTAAATAATTTTTTTGACTCTTCGCGTGTTGGTCATTTACTAGGGTTAGTAAGAAATTTATCTGACAATTTGCTAGTCGGGAATACGTAGTTATCCTCGAGAGTTAGTATGAAAAAGTAGAAAGCAAGTGGATTGACCGATGAATTGTGAGGACAAATTTGTGACCTTGGCGTCATGTAAAACGTCAGAATTGTCCTCAAATTGCTTGCTAAACTTTGCAGTCGAAAAAAGATTGGCGAGATCTACCTTTTCTGCTGTCCTTACGCAATAAAAAATTAACAAAATCCATTCTTTCCAAGCATTCTTTGCCGATGAATGGAAGGTAATTTTTCTGCTCAAAGTTGAGCAAAATTTAAAATTTATATTTCGCGCTTTCACAATGGTGTAGTATGTACCTTAATCATTGCAAATGATAAACCGACACTGCTTTTTTCGTCCTGCTTTGATGTTGGAAAAAGATGAGTCCAAATTTACTTCGTCGTAAATCTTCTATTTTTGTCATTTGCTGCGGTACAAAATGTTTCGACGTTCCACTTCCGCTATAATTTGCAAATTAGTCGGGACTTGTTGTGAAAATCGATCAATTTTTCCTTATTTTTCTGCAGATATCAATCACTGCTGAAAGCTCTATCTGTTCACATGCGGTGAAAATTACTTCCTTTTCTCTTGCTTCTTGGCTGGAACAGGAATTGCTTTTTGAGATTGCTAACTATAACATTTCCCTCTCTCTTTCTCGTTTGTGAATGGGAACTATTATAAGCTATTTTTATTTATTTTTAGCGTCGAATGGTCTCTTCGAGTGATCTGGTACAACGGCCTCCAATTCCTGACTTTGAAGGTTTGTGTTTGTCCGAGCGTTATACATAGATCTCGAGTGGCTATCAAGTGGATAGAAAAAAGTAGTCAGTGTCGTTTCGTGCCGTTCCATTGGTTGAAAAATGGACATGAGTTATTTTCAAGGGAAATGTTCTGCAAGCTGATGCTATATAATTTATGATTAATGAAAGGTTTGCACAAAGTATAATCATTTATGCAAACAAGGGAAGTTGAGCGTTCCTTCCAAACTAGTTGTGCCATTCTTCTCCTTTTGTTCCCCCTTTTGACTCCTATTTTCAATTTCCATCATCATATTTGGAACAATTTTCTTGTCGATCGTTGTCGGAACTAATTTGTTATGGACGACTGGAAAAAGGTTCTGGTTTCTAGAGGTTTCTGTTTTCACGTCAAAACTGTCGAAGTGTGTTTTTTTCTTCCCGTTTCTTTCCTTTCCTCCATCGAATCGAGCCTTACCATTTCTTTTGCCATGATCGGGTTAGACCGAAGATGGCTAAGGTAATGTAATGATTCGGGTTGACTACGTCAGCGATTGCGACTTAATTGGATTGTGAATTGCAATCTTGTGTCCAGTGGTTGTTTGAGCCAACATTTATTTCTACATTTGCGAATATCTGGCATTCGTAGGCTTGAATATGACATCATAATGATAATTTTCTGATAATTTTTCAAAACATTTTATCTGGTCTATCATTATCGCGGGGAGTTTGATGGATTTCTGGTTCCCAAACGAAAAGATTATCAATCATCGAAAATATTTGTATTATTATCATCTTTATTTGTATTTCTCTGAAGCGCAGTACACCCCGCACTGCTGTTTTTCAACGGATCGCAGTGTTGACCTATTGCCGCAGATACCGTAAGATTACAGTAAACCCTACCGTTATGCTGCGTGTAGAAGCGTTACTTGCTAACACTGTCAATTGATTCACTTTTTCTGATGTTTGAAATCGAAAACTATGCTAATATCTTGTCTTTTGTCAATTGATTCACTTTTCCTGATGTTTGAAATCGAAAACTATGCTAATACCTTGTCTTTTACTTTTTTATTCTTGTTTCAGCCTTTTCCACCTATTGAATTCACACAAGCAAATTTTTGGGATCTCCATATTCATGGTATTTTTCCCTCGAGTGAGTGTTGAACACGAGATGACAGCTTTGATGAATCCACCCACCACGTGAGCACTCCTCATGGACCTTCGATTAATCCCTTTTTGGGAAGTTTGCGCACGTTAAGCTTGTGATCTATGATGCCTCATTTCATGCTTGGTCCCTTGAAGGTGTCGAAACATCGGATTTCTGCTACTCGTAAATGCGCAGAAATTAGTCAAGCGGAATGAATTTGGAGGGGGGGAGGGGTATAGAGTGGTATAACTCGCAATATAACTGCTAGGTTGCGTTCTTGGAATACCTTAAAACTTACGAAAATCTTTTTCTGTTCAAATAAGTGGGCTAGATTCGCTTTGAAGGGTTTTTTATTCTAGGAATCGCCGCGTAACTAGAGCGCAAACCCTTATTATGTGTCTAGACGGCCAAGTCTCTGGCCTGATCTGCGTCTTTGGCTATCCCTCACTTATTCTGAAGTATTCTTGATTGTTGTCTATCTTTAGTGGATTTGCTGTACGTAACACAATAATTATGCTTGAGCGCTGTCGCTAGGTAATTATGGACTTTTCTGCTGTAGTTTATCACGCATTTGTGCACAAAGGATCTATTATCCCTGCTGATTATATATTGCTAGTTTAAGTGTGAATTTCCTAGATTCTAAGTCTAATTTTAGCCGATCATATGGCTGATGTTTTGTTGAGCCAGAGTGCAAGTTATGCTCCTTACCTGAAGGACAATAAAAGCCAGTTTTCAGAGAAAAAAACTTGAACGAGCAGTAGCGCTTACCCTTCAGGATTTCTTTGATTGGATATTTTTTATGTCCCACTGTTTACATAAACTTTTATCGGCCACCCTCCAATCGCATTTCTTGTGCTACGACCCATCGCTGACGAGGTGTCTTTTGCTCTTTTACGTGTTTTTTTTTCAAATATAACTTTCAAAAAATCTCCTTTATTTGTTTGAAATCTCTTGAAGGGGGTCGAAAGAACTTTTGTAATGATTTACATGACTTGACAGCATATGTTCTTTTGTCGAAGTAATCAGGTTTTACGATTGGGTCATTAATTATGAATTTAAGATCTAAATTTAGGACAAACGCTAGAAATATCTTGGCAAACATCACAACTTGACCTTTCTATCAAGTACTTGTGGTTTTCTGATTCATCTTCCGCGTCTATGGAGTTGTTTTAGTCCTTATTTGCTGAAAATAATGGGATGTTTTTGTCTAAAAAAAAGTTAGTAGCATACATAGAATAACTCGAATATCATTGGCTCAGTAACGCACTTTCTTTTGCAGATCATTTTTCTCGAAATTTGCACCATTTCAAAAAAGTCCAAGAGTATATGAATTTACAGCAAACCCGTAAATTTTTTTCGACTATTAAATCCTTCAAATTGTATGTCTCCATAGGTAGTGCACTTAAAACCTATTAACGCTGACGAAAATAGGTTTCCATCTCATGAGTATCGTTCCTTTAATTGAATCTTGTTTATGGAGAAGTTCGTCAGTTTCTAGATTTTTTAAAAAAAATTTTCTCAGTAAGTTCCTACAAAAACCAGCTTCCTCCATATTTGCATTCTAAGCTATTGTTTGCTAATGTGAGTACAGTCCAATGAGATGTAAATATTATTCTATGCGCGGATACCGAGTAAATAGTACGCTGCATTTTTTCGCTCCTCACTGACGCAAAGACCATGTCCAGGTAAATCTGGGTACCTAAAATTTCCAATGATGTGCTGTTTGGGAGATCCCTAAGGTCCCAACTAAGCCTTTATCCAAGCTGCAGCTTGTATGATTCATTCGTAGCTAGAAAATCTGACGTTAAATTCCTGCCCATACCGTACATTTTTTTGAGGGATACGGTGGGCGAGAGTTGCGCGTTTCATTTCTCTGTCACAAATGAATGATATAAGCTGCCGCTTATGCAATAGCTTATTCTTCACCTCCTGGCCAGTTTCTACTCAAAAAATCCTAACACCCAAATTCGTCTTCACGTTTTCCCTATAACCTATGGCTTCTACTCCCGCAAAATCACGATTCTGCTGTTTTCCATGATGTTTTTCCTACTGACATTTGGCGTCTGTGCAGCTTAGGGGAACCTTTATTGAATCTTTTCCATTTGAGTTATTGTGTTTTCGTCTGCTTAAAAATTTTTCGTTGTCACAAATGATGTTTTTGGATCATTGCCTAAGCACTGAGCTTGCAAAAGTGTAATTCGAGTTTGTTTACTGACTTGCTGCTAGGACAATTGCGAGCTAAATTGAAAGTAAAGTTCTATAATTATGTGATTTGGGCACTTGACTCGTCAGTTGTTTCCGTGGGTTTGATATAAGTGGTCTTAAATTAGCACACGGGTTTTACTCTTGGATCTTTTCTGGCCAAGTGATAAGAAAAAGCGATTGAGCGTCAAAAAGCCTATAAAAGATTTTATTATTCTGTATCTTTCCTAGCAACTGATCGAAAATGAGTAGCTAAGAACCTGATTGCTTATCGAATGACGCTAACGAAAGGAAATCCTGTTAGATTGACCGAAACAGATCAAAATTGGTCGTGACATTGTCTCAGCTGCCTTCACCCAGTATTCTTATCTACATAGATCTAGTGACTTTTGCTGGTGTGTTTGTCGATGTTTTTCGCCTGTTGTTCGATGTTTGCTCCACCATTCTTCTTGGAGTAAACATACGTTGCCTAAAACTCGGCTGATTAGACGTGTTTTTTTTAGGAGTCACAATGCTTGTTTCCTTGGTTTTAGGAAGTGATCTTTATTTCCTACAAAAAGAATTCTATTTTGGGAGAAAAATTTGTTCTTATCTTTCACTGAAGAGACTTGAAGTAATCAATCAAACAAAGCTGGACAAACCATGACTTCGTTTTTTTTGCATCTGGTTGAATGACCAGGAAGATTCTCCTTTTGACGAGTAATCTGGTATGGTTTTCTCATCCGTAAATTTTACCAGAAAAGGAAGACTTAGAAACTTTAGAAACTTTTGAAAAGTATTTCATGACTATTGAGGTTTTCTTTTGGGTTGGATGTTACAAAATCGCCTTATATTCTCTGAAAAGACTTGAAATGCGATTTCTATTCCATTAATCGACACCTCAGATGAAATTTTGATCGTAATTTTGATATAAAATTGTGATTGTCTAGTGTTTTTGTAATTTGAGTGAGCTTTTTTTTTGCGACACACTTTCTTTTACAAAAATTTGATTAATGATTGGTTCTTCTAATTTTTTTCTGCTCTCTGTTCGTTCTAGAATGTTCTATCATTAACTAAGACTTAAAGCTGAGAGCTCTGACATTTTTGATAAGTTTTTCTTTACCACATCTCACTTTTCCCATCTTTATTCTTAATTTTCATCTCTTCTTATATGTCTACTAGGTACAGTGTGAAATGCTTACCCCCATATTTTTTCAGGAAATTCTGATCATTGGTTTCTTTTTTTTTTGAATGAAAATTCTGCTCTCTGATCATTCTGCATTATTTTGCCATGAGAAAAATTGTCACGTGGTGGCTGATCCGCTCTCCTTAATGTCGTAGCTGAAATTTTTGCCATTTGCCTGGCGTCCTATTAAGATGTAAATTCGTCCTTTGAATTTCTTGAGAACGGAATTGCATTATAATAATTTTTGCGGTGAATCGGATCATTTCACCTTTTAGGTTCGTCGTAAATCTTTGCACTTTCATCGAGTTTTGCTTTGTTTTGCGCTAGGTCTGGAATTCTCGACGTTTTTTGTTTCCTTACGAGATCTTGTTCTCACTATCATTACCGTGAGGTTTTTGCTTCAAAAGCCATCGTTTCCTGACGTCGTTAGACTAAAAACGATGTGTAAGCTTGGCAACCAGAAAATCTGGTTTATACTTTGCACCATTCACAAGCTTGAGTGACTCTTCACTAACATGCAAGAAATTTTCTTGAGGAAGTTTTCCATGTTGAGCTTACATACATTTTTTAATCATTTCTGTTTCTAAATCACACAATAGGTGTGCCAAAGAAACAAAAATTGGAACAGTATTAACCAGATTGACTTTCTGGACCAACTAAGTTATTTTCATTTGAATCAGCTGAGAAATTTGCTTTCAATCTTGGTTTAGTATAGAATTTATAGACTTACTGTTTTTATCAGACAAAGTGATATTAGTTTTCAAGTTTTATTGACAAATTTACACATTTTCCAAGTCTAAAACTCAGCGTACATTTGTCGAAAATCGTCTGTTCCGTTTTTTTTCCTTCGGCTGACAAATTGTCCAATTGTCTGGGCAGCGTTAGATTCGCGAAAAAATTAGCTCTGTTCCCTTTTTTCTTCATTTCCGTCGACCACGATTACATTCCTGGTTGAATCTTACGGTGCCTTTGTCTCCTTCAATTTTCTATCCATTGTTGAGTTATAGTTATCGACAAAAGTCAAGAAATTTCGAGAAGTTTCAGTAGTTTTGATTGGTCGACCTTGCTGAAGGTCGTGCGGTTGCAAAAAAAGTTCATCATTAGGTTCCAATGTCTTTGCTTTTTCGGATTTTATGGCGTTTCTCTGTGGTTCCATATAGATTTCTTTATCGAAATATTAATCCATAATGGCATGAACGACTAGCAAATCTGCAGAGAGATGAGGAGCGCAGCTGTTCCGTGTGTTCTTGTTGTGCGCCAGTTCCACTTTATTGGTTGTTTTCTTTCCGTAAATAAAAGCATCAAAGATCATCCGAAGTGCGTAGTAAACTTCGCAATTAGTCCTTTTAGTCCGGCTAATCCTTCATCTCGCGTTTCCACATCTAATTAGAGGACCTGAGGACATTCCCGAAAATTGTTTCGTTGCGCTGGAATAGCACTTATTAGGTCGTAAATTAAGTTTTCTTCTCACACTTTTGCATTTTCTTCTAAAAAAACTGTAGAAACTTCAACATTAATTCTTGGCACATATGACGAAGGACAAAAGACTTCCATCGGCATTATTGTCACCTTCATAAGTATTGGGTTACTCTAAGTATAAAGGCAATTCTTTAATGGCTATCAGCCCCATTTTTTCTTTTTCTTTGAAAAATTCTAATTATTTTTCATGCTCTTAGATTTTTTTCCGCAGATTTCCGGGGACATTGGTTCAATATGGAGGTAATTGAGGAATCTAGACTCTTCAATAACGCAAGCTGGAAATTTGCCAAATAATTCTTGAAACTGCCTTCATTTTACAACTGATGCTTCCCGAAGTCCAGAAAAATAGCGCAATAACTTCAATAGCGCATGGAAATTTGCCAAAGATCGCAAATTTTTTTGAAAAACTCAACATTTGGATTTTTCATGTATGACATGTATATATTGGAAAGCTAGAATCTTCCAGGCAATCTGTGAGTAAACATTTTTTGAGCAAGAGTTATGGAAATTTTAGCATTTATTTCCTTCTACAAGATTAAGTAACAATTTAATGGTTTTAATGCGCTAAAAGAAGATCGAGCAAATTACTTTTCGGTGGCTTTATTTTATCATTCATTGCTTTCTTTCCATGAATATTTGAGGTGTCTCGCTAATTCCGTGTCTGTCGAGAGTTAGTCTTGTTCTTTCTGGAGGTTTCTGTTCAGGGCTGTTTTTCGAGAATTCGTTGGCATACCTCCAAAAGTCGCGAAATGGCTCTAGTATCGACGGCAAATGTTCTAATTAAACTATCGGCACCAAAAGAAACGCCAGAATACATAGATGTAGAGAAGAGTCGAGCACGCTCCAGGCGTGGTTCCCTCCCATTCAATACGTTGCTGTCGTTTGGAGAAGAGCCTCGTGTCGTACGGCCAGAGCGATCGTGGCTCATTCGTCGCTTGGCCAGCCTATTGCGACGGTCGTCCCCTATTGATAGTGAAGAGGTGGATGCGATGAAGGTGGTCGATCGTCGAGACCACGATCATCATGGTCCATGTGCGAAGTGTCGCCAAGCATTCGATGAAACGATGCAGTTGTGGGATCAGAATCAGGACGAGTGCAGTGTTGATCCGACAAATCTCTATAGACAACAGCTACGACAGATTTTGCAAGAAGAATCGAATTCTGAGCTGTTCGATAAGGATATCGCGCATTTGACTAGGTCCCTGTCTGAGGGGGATATTGGCCGGCTCGAACATGAATCCAATGGACATGAGTTATTCGATGACCTTAGCGATCGTTATGGTTTGATGTCAAGTGATTTTGTAGGTTTGTTGTCTTGATAATATTCAAGTTGTCTTTCGAGTTCTATCCGTTTTCACTTTTCACTCCAACGACTCCCATTTTTTGATTCTGGAAAAGACCTTGGACTTTCCAATAGAGCCAAGCAAGCTCTAGTCCAAACACGTACAAGGCCTGTTCCACCTAAAGTTTTGGAACAAAATCTACAAAATATTGTCAGCCCAGAACTCGAATAAAAATTAGAACCCTGAGTAAAAAGGGGCTGATCTCACCCAGGCTTCTATAGCATCAGCCTTAAAAAAACAACCACAAATTTTCAGCTTTTTTAAGCAACAATTTTTGAGAAATATCAGATTCAGCGCAAAAATCCGAAAGCGACATTCTCGTATTCTTGGCTTATTTATGTTTCTCATCTTTTGACCCTGAAAAATATACGGAGTTCGAATATAAATGTAAGATAAAAATACTTATACAGTGAACAACCAGAGATTCCTAAAAATTTCGGAAGCAGGGTTCTGATTTTTTTTCGAGTTTTTGGACTTCGAAAAGTTTTTACTATTATTTTAACTTTACGTGGAACGAGACTTGTGCAAATGTTCAAACACCACTTTGTAGAGCTTGTTCTATTCTATCGAAACATACTTTGGGATTTTTTATAATCAAGGAAAATGGGAGGTTTTGGGGTGTAACGTAAAACGCACGGAACTTATGAGACAAGCTGATGGACTCTCCTTTTTGGAAAATAGCCAAATTTGGCTCCTTTCCAGAAACGCTCTGCGTTCCAGAAGGAACAGTTGTTGGCGATGATGAGTGCTACATAACGGGCGCTTTTCTTGATAGCCTCGATCAGTACAGCATTAGATCCCAGTCATCAGTTGAATCCAATGATCAGACGTCTCCAGCCCCATTCCGTCCGAAACTTTCCGAAGAACAGCGAACACAATCGATAGCTATGGATATTCCCAAAAAAGAGCATGAACCACCGGATCCGGTTGTACGTACTCGAACTTTCCCGGCAAGAAAGCGTCGTGTATCTGAACGGCTAATTGATACGCTTACGAGACGATTGTCCAGAGCTAATGTGTCCGATTTCAAGTGGAAATATGATCCGATGAAAGCATTACTTGAACGAACAGTTTGTAACAACAATAATGAAGGTTTGTGGGGTTTTTTGTGGTTTTGTAAGAAATGGTACGGCACGAAAAGATTGACACTGACAACTTATTCATTTCTGCTCAATCGGAAAACTTAAGCTTCATAAAAATCAAGTAATCCCGTTCAGGACTACCTGATCATTTATCCAGCGCGCTTTCTGAGCTCAACGATCTGGAAACAGTAAGCATTGACTCAGCCGAAGTAGCAAGATATAATTTGTAAGTTTACAAAAAATAATTTTTTTTGTTATTGGTTTCATCCAATTACCGATTTTGCGCATGTTTTTATACTTTTCTCTTTTGCAGAAGTTCGCCTTTATGGGATCGTTTTGATCTTTTCTCAAAAGAAGAATACAATTCATGGCATGACAAATATCGTCATGACAAAATGAGCTCAAAACTGGTGAAGAAACAAGATGCAATCTTTGGTAAGTTGATTGGAAATTTCTTTGAGTCATTCAGTATTGATTTTTTGAGTTTTTTTCATTAATTCTTCTCTTTTTTTGCAGAATTGATATTGATAGAAAAAGCTCAATGTGCACATCTTGCGTTCTTACAGCAGGTTTGTGCAGTTTTGTTTTTCTTGCATCTTTTTTCTGAGACCTTTAAGCCATTTAGAGAATTGGATTTTGTTTATCAAGTTCTTTTTTGTTCTAGGGTTATCGATATCGGCTTGTTCAAGAGAATATCCTCTCAGAACCGGATGTGAATCGCCTCATACCTGATGTTCTTGACGCTCTTCTCGTTTTTCATCTACACCTCCTTGATAGATTAACTGCCAGACAACGAGAATCAGATGAAGTAGAAACTATATCAGATATCATCGCTGAAGAGGTATTGTTTAGTTATCGGGCCTATGCCACATGGAAGAAATTATAAGTTTGTTTCAGTTGTCCGATGAGGGGAAGCATGTCAGCATAGCCATAAATGCCTATACAGCTTTTGGTTCGGCTAAAGAACGATCAGAAAAGCTGTTCGAGTCGTTAATGGCGAAAAATGGACGCTTCGCCGATTTCATCAGGGTGAGTTTGGATCCCTTGAAAGGACGTCTTTTTCTCTTTTACATCTGAAATTTCTGGTTTTTGATCCATTACTTTTCACATCACATTTCCTTTTCTTAATTTAGTCATGCGTAATTCAAAGGGAATGGCTGTCTCTGCATTCCTAGAAACTTGTCTCCATTACAATGAACTTTTGTTTGTCACCAAGGTCATAGCTCAAAAAAGAGATGCAATTGTGTCTGTTTTGACTTCTTCCTGAACTTCTTGATTAGACTCAGGTCTGGAGGGCGCCCAGCTCAAATGAGAAAGACGATAAATTAAGTCGGCGAGGCGCCATTGTAAACAATTGGCAAAATTGCTGCCACGTTCCACACGAATCTCATCCCTTGGTGGTAGGAATCTCGAGGTTATTCATTGGATCAAAAAAAGGGCTGAGCCAGGCATTGGCGGGTTGCAAGAGGGATGGTACATGAAGTTTTGCACTACTTTTCAGTGCTCTGTGGACAACTCTTGGACAGATTCTTTTGCTTTTAAAATTTCTGGAAGGAGTTGTTTTAAAAAATCAAAAAATAACAGGAAGTTCTAGTTTCCAACTTCCTACATCATTATTCAACGGTCCATTTGATTTGCTGCTTTTGAATCAACTATCTTCCAAGAAAAGTTTATCTTTAACCAAAATTCTGCGGCAGGCTTCTCCTTTGAAAAATCCAATATCTGTTCGGGCTCAAACAAAGGCCGTAATGACTTTTCATGCCATTATGCCAGTAATCTTCGTTTGAAAAATGACAGTGGTAGCTAAACAACCGAAACGAATATATGGTGCGGCTAATCCTCTTCTTTTGTCCACTGCTCAAAGGAAGTATCTGGAAAAATATGGGTATCTAAACTTCCAATGTGAAAACTCATCATGAGCTCTTAGTTGAGACATTCAGCCATGGAAAAATTTCGAATTCAAATTTGCGCCCAGACTGTACTCTTGGCGGGCCAATCCGCGTCCACGAATGCGGGTAGAAAGTACGGTTTGGACTGAGGTGTAGAATTGGATTTTATCGGCTCCGAATGGTTCAGTAACTGCAACTTGGACAGTGGCTTATTTAAGAACTCAGGGAATCAGATTTTTCCTGGAGATTGATTATTAAAGATCTATTAAAAAAATTGAAAGTCAGATATTGATTGAATCTAATTTTGTACTATAGCAAAACTCCTTTAAGTAGGGTTGAAGTTTGTTCCATAAATAATGCTTATATTGTAAAGGCTACTACATGACGAAGGCGCAGAAGCAGTATTAGGTGACAGGCGCGAACGCGACGCACGCGTATCTTCACCGTTGTAAATCCTGCGCCTCGTGCGCTCTGCGGCTAATAAAGCCGCGTTCGCGTCCAAAGATATTGCGCCTTCGTCAGGCAGCAGCCTATAAGTAAATTTGACATCAGATTGCTCATTGTCACATTTTAGTCAACTTCCTATGATCCTTTATATCGCCGGTACGAGTTCAAGTCCACGATGACTCGAGTTATCAGCAGACCAGCGAAGTATGGTCTCCTCTTGGAGACAATCCTGAAAAATGAAGGAAACAAATTCACGAAAGAATGTGAACTCACTCAAAAAGCTCTTCTCGTAAGTTTCATCTTCTAAGCCAGTAAATATTGGAAATAAAAATTTGTATTTTCCAGACAGCAAAACGTTTTGCAATGATAATAGACAACAATCTACTTATGGCGCAAATGGCTCAACGATGGGATGATGTACGATCACATTTCGATCATTCAAGTCATACTAATTTGTACCTCGTCGACAAGGAAAAACCATCTGGAGTTGTACGGATTACATTCACTGTAAGCAGTTTTTTTTTGGACACAAAAGGACTCTTTTAATTGAGAATTTTTCTAGATGGAAGATCTCGATATGGATATGAAGAGTGTAGGATCTGGTCAACGTCGATTAATGTGCTTAGGAGACGTTTGTATGAAGAATTCTAGCACAAAACTTGTAGAAAAAGGTAGGACACTGCCGACTTCAGGAGATTCTAAACCTTGCTTTTGTCTCCTATTAACACTAGAATTTAGCCTGTCAGTAAAAGTCATTTTTTTGTTTTCGCAATGCTAAAAATTGTGTACGGGATTTTTTTTAACCTCTGACTGCATTGGAAAAATAGAATCACGAGAAGTTAGGTCTTGGTCGGTAGACTTTAATTAGACGTCTCAATCTCAGTTATGCACTTTTTTAGTTTGTCCAAATCCAGCTAACCCCGTCTTCTTATAATTTTAGTATTCTTTAGTTTGTCTGTAGATACGAAACATTATTCTTTTCTTTCAAAAAATTCTATTTTTAGTGTTTATGGTACTATTCGACGATATCCTTGTTTGTTTACAACGACGAAGCAATCAGAAATATGTGTTTATTCAACAGGTCCGTGCTTTTAGCTCAATGAATTTGTAAATTTTGGGAGTGATTTTATTGAGCTTTAAAAATTCAGGAACAATCGGTGTTTCCCGTCAGCGGTTTGATTTTGAGACCTGCTGATCGTAGCGCATCGGTGATGATCATCTCGGGTGCGGTTACGAAGCCGGCTTTGTTGGAAGTTGAGTTCAACTCAAAAACGGATCGAAGCAAATGGATCAAGACACTTGAGTCGGCGATACATGCCGCTCCAGTCAAAGGTGATTAGGATAATTTTCAAATGAATTTGGCGCTTTTCCACTTTATACTGAAGAAGCGAATCAAATTTGGAATGATTATTTCACACCGACTAATTGGCATGCTGTCACAAAAATGCTAGTTGCTTCGCGTGATGGATCCTTAAAGGGGCTCACGGTAGGTATACGGTATATGTAAAGATCTCATGATTCGCTGTAGCTTTGCAAGGGTGGCTTATTTGACATGCTGATTATTCATTCTTGTGATGGCGCCTTAGTTGGGGTTACGGTAGCTATACGGTACGGATCCTGCGGCAATCCCAATTTACTTTGAGAATGGATCGGTACGATGTGGCTTTCCGAAAATGCAAAAAAGAACGAAGTCCCCCCTCCCCTGATTTTCGCAAAATTCCACGTCCCCACTGAACCTTATCCGAATCTACCAAGAAAAGGAAACATCTACTAAAAATAAAAAATAAGGAAAAACCTGATTTCGCCGCAAAAGCAATATCCCCTTTGCTTTTTGTCCTTGAAACGGTATCCAGCTTGCTTATAATCCCCTTTGCCGAGCCGTTAATGAGTGATTTAATTATCGTGAGCAGTTGTAAATATCTCTGTTACAGGGATTTCTGAATTTTTGTCCTTATACCTTGTGCCTATAACCCACAGAAAAGGTCCATTTGCGATGAATACCATTTTGGTGATGGTGAACTGTGGCTAACCTTTCATTTTTTGTGAAAAGGAATCCAAAGATAATAGTGGTGTTAGAACTAGCTACAAATCCTTGGCATAATTCATTTTGCTAATCTACGAAAATTAAATGCTTCGTTGTCTTTTCTGAGCATCCTCGAATTGGGTCTAGTAGTACTTAAAGCAACTTGCAAAGTTTTTTCATCCGCTAACTTCGCCTTCAAGGACGTGGAAATCTGCAAACGCGAACTCTCATTTCCACCTGAACCTTTCGCAAAAAACATCTACTTTCAAGTTCGTATGTCACCGCGAAACGAGGACGAGGCCGCACGTCAACTCGAACAAGAAAGGCAATTGCAAATGAGACGGCAAAAGGAGGCAGAAGATGCTTGGCTACGAAGATTGGACGAAATGTTTGGTAAATGTTTATATTAGGTCTAGGTATCTGAAAAAAAGTGTATTTTGTATTTCAGAGCAAAGAAATTCGCAAGACAAGCTCATACAAGACTATATGCTATCGCTGATGAAGTTCTTTGACGATTTGAGAGTCCATCTTCATTCCTTACCTCTGAAATCTCGTCCAGATGTAGCAGATCGGATACGTGAAGCTGTACGACAACATTGTCGAGAATTGCGCGTTTGTCGGACTGCTCCGCTCAATAAATGTAGGTTTTAATGATTTTATCGATTTTCGATACCATTCTATCGTATGCCATTTTGCAGTGATCGAGAATGCTTGTGTGGCTCGTGAATCGGAACTGTGGAGCTTCATCGACGTCGCTGCAGAAGTGGCATTGGATGGACCGGATTCTGATGGAGGCGGATCAAGCAGTGATAGCAGTGGAAGTGGACGACGTCCAAGACGTATTCACACTTTCCATGGTACCACTGGACCTTCAGATGAAGATGCCCCGTCGACATCGGGCAAAGAAAGTAAGTAGGACTATGTTCTTTTGTGGAAGGAGAACGTCCACAGGTTACGAAAAGTCTTGGCAAAAAGACAGTGTAATCTGAAGAAAAACCTAGTTTTAAGTTCTTGCCCAGTACCGTACTAGTGGAGCAAGCAGACGCCTCGTGTACGCTTTGGGCAGGAGCTGAAGTTGCATTTCTGGTCACACCGTGTCATACGAGCTGCGGCTGGTTATCTGACAGTCAAAATATCTATAATTAGATGGCAAAAACAGCTTATAAAAACTTCGGGGCAGGGCTCATTGTCAGCACAGCTGGCACCGGGTCAAGCTGGATATCGTTTTTAGGGCGGAAAGCAAAGGGGATATCGTTTCTACAGGGGCCGAGGCGGAGACCTGCCGCAAAAATGCCGCCGGCATGCCACCGGCATGCCATTGGCAAGCTGTCCATCAACAAACAAAGGCGTTGTTTTCAGCCAAAACGCAATAGTATGACACCAAATTTGGTGTGTGCATGCGCGTTGGTGGACCGGAACTATGGGCCAAAAATTTATGAAAACTTATATGAATGAAAGCTGTGCCGAACTTTTTTCTGAATTAGCTGGCACCGTGCCAGCTGGGTGCCAGCTGAGCTGGCACCGACACTTTGCTCACATAAATTTTCATATTTTTTTACATAAAATGTATCCACACTGTAAAAGATTACATACGGAGAAGAAAAAGTTTCATAATGTTCTCTTTTCAGCGTTTTAGAGCAATTTGAAAACCACTCGGTCCGCTCCGCAGTTGAAAAATCGGCCTTTTCTGCTTCTCAAGATGTGATTCGACCACTTAAAAAGCTCAGAAAGCCGTGAAAAGTTCTTTCATGAAATCAGAAATGCATGAAAACACTACTACATTTTTTTACATAATATAAAAATGATAACGGGTTTTCAAAATAGGTCAAAAGGGACTTCGTACGAAATTTTCAATATCAAACGGGACTTCGTTTTGAAATTTCCCTGGTGCCAGCTCGTGCCGAGCCCTGCTTCGGGGACATGGTCGACGCATCCTTTCTCCAGAGAAATTGTAGACTTTCAGCTTGGATTCAATAGAAAGTCTGCATATTAACTTCTTAGCTTGCCTTTCTTAAAAAAGCTGCTTGGAGAGCTCACCTTTCGTGACAAAAGATCCCTCAGTCGTTGCGCCTACTTAGTTACTGTAAAATTACCATCTTTTTGCAGAATCGTCAATACGAAGGCATACTACCGTTCCACGAATGAATATAAGCCAAGATAATGCACCTGATAAAAGCGATGAAGAGGAAGACCGAGTTGAGCTGAGCGAAGAACGACGTGAACAACTCGAAGTCGAACAAAAGACTCATCGCTTACCGGTTAGTAAATAGTAAAATTAAAATAAGTCAAGAAATGAGTTTTATGTGGTTATTAAGCTTGGGCTGAATCTGAAAGCTCGTCGTGCCATGACGAATTTGATTCGAGAAGTCGTCAAGCTCAAGACCGAAAATAATCATCTAAGGAATGAAGTATCTTTGTGAGTGGGAATTTTAATCTTTTGTTGGTTTTTTCGCTCGAAGCTTTCAGTCAACAAAGTCAATTTTAGAGCTAAAACAAGGCTAGCAATGAAAGATCGAACAGCGCATGTGGTACCGACCTATGTTCTGGCTGCTGACACCATGGAAGCGTTACGTCGGAAAGAGCAAGAAGTTCGAGAAGAAGATTCACGTCGACGACGGGAACTGGAACAATGGGCTGAAGAACTGCGTGTACAACAACAACGGCAACAACAAGAGCAAGAAATGCTACTTTTGGAGAGGGTAAGTGGTTTTTTTTTTTGACGAAAATTTTTCAGTTTTTGCGGCCACTAAAGGGGAAAATCTAAAGTGTTCGGTTTGAAAATTCGAAAAAATTAATCTTAACTCAAGTTCAACTAAGCCATTGCTCTAGCGGCACCCGTAATAGTCATTCATGGCCACAAACTGCAATTTTGGATTCTCGCCCACTACTGTAAGGCACTGACTCCGTTTGGAAAGAGTACTGTACTGGGCAGGAGTTTACAGTTATATTACTCGACCGCGAGTAAATCATATGAGCTGCCTCTTGGGCAATGGTACAGCTAAGGTTTTTAAATCAGTATGCCACCTTCATCAGATTTTTTTCGTCGCCCCCCTCCCCTCCCCCCGAACGGAAATCCTAGGTGCGCCACTGGTATCCAGTAAGAGGTCCAAACACCCAAATTTTTCTGATCAACTCCTTCAAAGGCAGCGTCCATATTCGCCTCCAAACTGAACCCCGAAACCGTATCCGCATTGATTCATGGCGCGACACATCAGTTTTGCGCGAGGACCCACGCGCGTCGCGCCATGAATCCATGCGAATGCGATCCGGGGGTCCACTTTGGAGACGATCTCAACTGTGAGTTCACCATTTGAGCTGCCGCTTGGGCACTGTCTTAGTTAGGGCCCCAAAATTACTTTCCACTTCAGAACCCCGTATGTCCAGATTTGCCTGGACCCTGCCTTTGAGGGAATTTGTAAAATAAAATGGAAGAGAAAATGCATACCTGCTCATTTTCAGGAGAAACTACAACGTAGTGAGGCAGAACTTGCTGAAAAATGGGCAGCTCTTCATGCGGCTTCTGCTGGAGGAACTCCTATCAATTCTTCTCGTATAATAGGACGTATCTCCATGAAAAGCCCTAACGCACTGGAGCGAGTCACTTCCTTTCGTGACCATAAGTAGGTAACTTTTTTGTTGAAAATCATTTTTTTTAATCATTTTAATTCCGGGGCATTATATGCAAAGCGATTTTTTGTTTAGATCATCTGACTCGTGTGATGCTGAAATGGTAAATTTCCCTTGAAATTGCTTTCTGTTATAAAATCAGTTGTGCCTTTTTTAAACTCTGTTTGTTGTGATGCCTTAGTAACACCTGCGATTTTTGATGCAATATGTTTTCACGTAGTGTTGTTTGTGGTGGTTTTCAGTTTTGTTTTTTTTCTATTTTCACTCCTTGTAGCGTCCGCACTGATCCCTTCGGTTTCCCAGATATAATCATATAATCCCAAGAATGGAGAAAAATGGCTTTTTAATAGAGAAAGCAAGAAAAACATCGGTAGAAGTGTCACAGCAGCGTCGTCTCTTTCTCGCTTCATTAACTCGATTTAACTGACGATATTGTGGTCGCACACATAAAGCAGCATCCAAGCAAATCTGGGTACTTGGGTTTCCTCATGTTGAAAGTGATTGCGAGGTTTAATTGAGTCATTGCCCAAGCTGCAGCTCTTATGATTCAATCGGACGAGATATTCAGCTCTAGAATGCGGTCCAGACAGTACTTGTACGGTAGATAGAAAGTACTGTCTGGACCGGAAATCAAAGTTGAATTTCTCGGGCAGGAATGAGTTATATGAGCTGCCGCTTGGGCAGTGATTTACCTGAGGTCTTTTAATCACTTCCGCATCAGTACAAGTGCCCAGATTTGCTTGGACCCTGTCTACAAACACAAGACTTTTCCCAACCTTAACTGCTTTTGCATTTTGGCACAAGTTAGCTTTCAATTCGATCAATTTATATATTTATTGCAGGATGACATCTCACCAGGGCATTTCACCCGCTCTAAGAAATCTCACTAAGAAAAGCGAGACGAAACGTATCAAGAAGTGAATTGGGAACGATGCCTCAAAAATTCTTCAACTGCAGGACCAGAGTCTATCAGTAGTTGCTTTTTTGTGGAATATTGTTAGTTCCTGAAGCGAAATTTCTAGGGATTGTTCAAACAACCCGGTTTTTTTTTTTGAATTTTACCAATTTTTATGGTACTCTTTGAGTCGAACCCATTACTGTAGCCTATTTGTGCCCTTCTGATCAGCTTTCCCGGTGTTGTAATGCCTCTCGCTTACATACAGAGCTCCATTTATAGTTGTGTCCGCCATTTCATGCATCGTTGTGCCTCGTTCCCTCAGATTTGATGGTCTTTTAAGGAGTTATCTCCCTCCAATTCCATGTGCTTTTCCAAGAAGTCTAAGAAAATCCTTGTATAGCTTGTGCGACAAATTTTGTCAGAATATGTCGGAAAATTAAGTTTTGGAGTCATGTGTTTATTTTGAGCTTACTGTGTGTATTATATCGTCCAAATCCTCAGAAGAAGTTTTGTTGTAGCTTTTAATTTTTGTTCTTATTTTTTTTGCAATTTTTCTGGCCATATGTGATCGCTCTGTGGGCGAAAGCTCAAAAAAATTCTGTACATACTCTTGGGTTTTGAGATGATCGTTGTGCGTTTTGTCGACGCGAAGATTTCCCTACAGTATATTGCACGCTTTACCGGTTACCGTATACCGCCACACACGCCAGAAAATCCCCACAACTGCGCGTTTAGCTCAGATATCTCCCTCTCTACATTGTGCGTTATTTTTTTTTGTTCCTTATTTTTTCCACTAACGACGAGAATTTTGTCTCTACCGGTTGTACTGCATTCATCGTGCATTCTCCCTGTTTATTTTTTTTTGCTGGAAAATTTTTTTTTTGTAAATGTGTCCTCAGTCCTTGTATCAATCTCTTTTTTCCTCCACACATGTTATATATCATCACATCATTACCAGAGTGCGTGTAATACTAATAATGTGAACACTAATGTGTTTCCTCTTTTTTGCTTACTGTCAAATTCGCTTCTCTCAGCACTCGAAAAGACTTATCAATTAGCTGTGTTTTGGGTCCATTAAATAGCCGCCATTTTCGTCGACGACATTGTCATGTCTCGGTCTGCTATTGGAGTCTATAAATTATGCACTCATGGGAGTTGTTCTCTTCGCACACTTTTTTACGAAATTTTGCAGAATTTTCTTACACGTTCTGCAGTTTGAGATTTGAAAAATGTACTTGTGACTGACGGGTGGGTTTTAGCATGATGGGATAATGACATCCCGAGTACTTGCAGTTTTGCTAAGAATGTGGCAGTGAGTGATGGCAAGCGATAAAATTGAAAGTCGTGTCTCTGCAATATTAAAAAAGTTTGCAGACGGAACTTTTTTCTGAGGCATTTACACAACTACGAACCCATTGAAGAATAAAAAGGATAAAGGATCTGACGTCTTTGATATCCTTTATGGCATGCGCCAAACGTACTCTACTTAACAGTCGAACAGGCTACTGACTGCATCGCTAACCTTTGACTCAAATGGGTTGGCGGCTGGAAGGCGGGGCTTTATGACCTGGTTAGGGCCGCTCGCGCCCGCAACGCTGTCGGCGTCTCTCTGCTCGTGCTGTCTGATCATTCTCTAGCCTGAACTAGGTCATGAAGCCCCGCCTTCCAGCCGCCATTCCAGTTAAATCAAAGCGTAACTCTACGATAACCTATCTATAGAGCATAATCTGGTACAGTAAATCAGAATAATGAAAGTGAGGTCTTTGATAATCTAAAACAGGCTATAGTAACAGATACTATAAAACTATATGAAATAAGCAAAATAATAAACATTATGAGTATTATTTTTAGACCATACAAAAAAATCCAAATTTACACTGTGTCAAAAAGTCCGTTTTTATCACTTTGTCCGGGAAGCTCGGTCCCACCTCGACTTCTTCCACTTTGTGTAGGGTACTATAGCCCATAATTTGATTAACACCACTACGTATGTTATGGAACCGTCAGAACTCCATAATTCTGTTTATAATGTTTTTGGACATTTATGTTTACATTTTTCAATGATACTGACTCACAATGCTGTAAAAATAGACTATTCATCAATCACATTTATTCTACCAAAAATGAGTTGAATTTAAAAACTGAATTTACTGCGGAATCGATGAGAACTGCGAAGAAGCTCCGGATGCGATTGTGATATTTTTCAAGGTCATTATAATGATTAGAAAAAGTAATTTTCAAGATTAGAGGGCTTAGAGGGCTTCAGCAAATTTCTGATAAAAAAAAGGCGGCATACATCTACAAAACCGTCGCAAAGCATCAGTAACTTACATAATTCACCGGTCCGCAGAACGTTTGGGGAAGCTCCGCTGCCTCACCTGCGGAAGTCTCTTAAACGGCTTCAAGTTCCGGAAGCGTTTAGAACGGAAATAGCAAAAGAGAGACTCAAGCGAGATTTGAACCTTGCTCTAACGACTGCGACGCTCACTAACCGCACTAGGATGACATGTTCGAAAATGCAGTCTAGTTGTTGGCCTTCTTTTTGTATAAGATACTACATTCAAAAACCTGTAGAAGTGCCGACGGTTTGAAGCGCTGCGGAATCGCTGGCATTTTTCGAAAATTTCGCGGCTTTTTATGAAGATTTTGCGGAAGTTTTTGTTTTCAGCCATTTTGACGTGAACATTCTGCGGAAGTATCCATTTTCAAGGGTTTCCATTTTTGCAATTGTAAACAATATCCTGCGGAACCGCTGCAAATTTTGCCTGTTCAGCAAGATTTTTGTCCTGCAGTGGATTATCTGTTTATTAATTATATTAATTATCTTTTTCTTTTATATGAACATTAAAAAGAATTTTCCTGAACAAAGTTTCCAGAGAGCTGCAATAAATTTTAGCATACCGCTTTTGATTATCGATTAGTTTTAGCACCAGGCTATAGAAGACTCTTTTAGTGTTAGTTTGTCGTAATCAAATAAATCAAAGAAAAAGTTTTGGCACATGAGTTTTCTCATGAATTGCTGATTCATGGCTGAAAATGCTTAAAGAAATTGCCTGTCAAACAAAAATTGCCATTTTGTGCAAGCCTATTAGCTTCCATTGCAAGATTCAAACTTAGCCATTGGTCGCTGATTCCACAGACCAGTGTGATAGAGAAGTGATTTTGGTATCGCTCAAGTTTTAGGGCGTTGAACTCGAAGATTTTGCGCGATGTGTTTCTCTCAAAGACCTGCTTACTATAAAAATAAAGTGATTTTTGATTTATGAGTTAATAATATGTTAACTAGATGCGAAAATGAATAGCATAGTGAAAATCTACTCAGACAATTCACCAGATTCCGCAGGACAAGCAAAATTTGCAGCAGTTCCGCAGGATTCTGACACGTCACTACTTATGCAGGGTTTTGAATGTGTTGTCTCGTATGATATTGTCTCGCCAACAATTAGACTGCCTTATCGAACATATCAGCCGTAATGCAGAGGATAGCGGGTAAGTCTCATGTCAATAGAGTAAGGTTCAAATCTCGCTTAGGTGTTCTCTTTTGATGTTGTAGTTTGCACTCTTCGGAACTTCTGCAGCACCTCATTTGGGAACTTCCTCAGCACGTTTACGAATCTTGAGCAGGTGACCCGGCGGGACTTTCCCAAACGTTCTGCGGAAGTTCCGGTCAGTTGTCTGAGCATGAGTAGACTAGTTTACGTTTGGCGCAAGAAAATGGCTTGCGAATATTATAGAGTTGAGCGATCTGAAAATTGCTGAGCTTATAAAAATTCTAGGCGAAGTCTTAACTCTTATATATATTTGCGAAAGTCCCTTGTAAATGGGAATTCTCTTCGTTTCACAATTAAATGACTTAAAACACAAAGTAAATATTGTTCATTCTCTGACTAAGAGATGCAAGCACGCTCTGCATACATTTCATTAACAAGTTCATGAATGAGTTCTAACGCGTTTTGGTTAGTTACTATCAGATGTTCATTAAAGAACGTGTTTAAGTCAGCGTGGATCAACAAGCTCAAACATGTTCGTCCACAAATTACAAGAGCAAAGCAACCAAAACGCGTTGAAACTCATTCATGAACTTGTTTAAGAAATGTACGCAAAGCGTGCTCGCGTCTCTTAGTCAGAGAATGGATGATAACCAGCGTCAAGTAAGGGGTGTGGCGCACGATCGCTGGTCACGACCCCCCCCCCTGATCGCTGTCTTAATAAGACCCCCCCCCCCCTGAACTATATACCTAAGATAGCATTACCAGAGTTGAGAAAGAGGTCAGGCACAAGTTTTTCGAACCCCCCCCCCCCCCGCCATGAAAGTTCTCATACGATCCTCTTCCTCCTCTTAACCTCTGGACCTCAAAGTGTGACATTCTGGAGGACGCCATCTTTTTCTAGAGAGTTTTCAGATTTCTGAGAGCTGTACGCCCGATTTTCTGTGACTGCACTTTACAATCACACGTAATTTGACGGCTGATTTTGATCTGAATGGGCATATTGAAAGGGCCATAATTTTCTTATGGGTGGGGCGTTCGGCTGCAATTTCCAATGTAGCAAGAAGAAGCTATGTGCTCAATACTCATACCAGCAATGGAGCGCTTTCTGGATTTTGAAGGCAAGTTAAGGGGGTGTGCCGCACCCCATTAACTAAATCAAAAAAACATTTTTAGCGGACAGTATTTATATGAATCGATAGCCCAAACCTTGTAGATTCCATAGGACTGTTTGGAGTCTGATTTGTCTTCTTAGCTCTAAGTAATAACGAAAAATGGGAAAATTGAGATTGGCTGGCTTATTATTCCACAGTTTACAGGTCTTCTGAAGCGGGATTCCTGAGGTGGACAAAGAAGGAGTAGTGCTTTGTCTTGAGTGCAAAAACGGATAGCTAATTTACCTTTGAAACAAAGTTATCCACGTTAGAATTTGACCATTTCATTTAGGTAGCCTAGTATCTTGAATCTTCAGAATTCGCTCACACTTTGTCTACAGGGGTTGATTGACATGCTAATTATGGATATGATACGAATATCATGTTATCACTATTATCAGATTACCCAACTACGACCCCCTCCCCTTTTGACCCCTCAATACGACCCCCCAAGTGTGGCGTGCCACACCCCACGCTTGACCCTGATGATAACTTCGATCAATGTAATCAGCGACTCCTCGTTGAACTGATCACAACTGAAAAAACATTTTGTGCAATAAATTTTTATGATTCTCACACATTTTGTCCATAAGTACTCAAAACTACTTGTAAGATGACATTTCCTTCACTCTCATTTGGAGTCAATATCCGAAAGATATCTGATTGGATTACTCATATAAGCGTGCCCAATACTCTTGGTGTCGCTTCGCGGCATTGCCGGGGAAAAATGGGAAATTGGATTCCATCATAACTAGATTTATCCTCTACAAAAAAAAACATTTCCTCCTCAAAATAGCAAAAGGAGGAAACTAGATACTGCTGTGAAAATGACAGTCTAACTGGATACTGCTGTAAAAATGAAAAGCTTTTTTTGGAGTTCAAGGTCCTCTATGGATGGATGAGAAAAAACTTTTCTGATATTTATTCTTTGCCTTATGTAGCATGTCCAATCGGTGGGTCCCTCCGTCTCAAGAAAATATAATTCTTTTGGCTAATGTTGTCTGGCGCGGACACAGATAAGAAAAACAAGTTGAATACAGGATTAAAAAATATCGAAGTCATTAACATAAATTCAACAAATGCCAGATTTGCAATCACAAGCTACCCTGTGATTCAACTGGCTTGGCGGTCGGAAGGCGGGGCTTCGTTTAGAGTGATCAGAGAGAAGCGCGCGACAGAGACGCAGACTGCGGACTGCGGACTGCGTCTCTAACGGGCCTTAATTGGGCCACAAAGCCCCGCCTTCCAGCCGCCAAGCCAGTTGAATCAACGGTTAATTATATGTATTTGGCTCATTTTGCTCATGTGGGAGTAAGTTGTCTGGCTTACAAGAAATGAAGTTGTGGATGTACTGACGTCAATAATATCTTTGTTCTTGAAAACACAAAATTTCAAATCAGTAATCTTGAGGAGTCTTTCACTAAATACACAAATAGGCATCTGACCACCCCATGGATAGAACTGGATAAATCTGATTTGAGAAATCAATGAACTAAATTTAGTAGCGGCTCTGATTAGGAGAACCCGAGTGCATCGACATTTATATAACTGAAAGATGATCTGATGCAGACATCCTTGGAGTTCTCTCTGTAAGAGTTACTTCTAATGACTTCTTTTTTCGGCATAATTCCTTTTCGATGAGGTTTTTGAGGGATTCTGCTGCTACGGCTAGAATTCGATTGCAAAACATCTATGGGAGCAAATCGAAAATAATATCTGATTTCACCCAACATTGAAGGTCTAAGATGATTTCCATGAATTTTTATTTGATCTCGGCTTATGAACAAAGCAAGTAAACAAAGCAAAAGCACAGTCTCTTGATTTTGTGTGTCATGGGCGCCCATCCCACCTTGATGATGGCGATTACCGCGCTCAAATGACGATTTCAAGCGCGAATCTCATTTTGAACATTTTGAACAATTTACGAATTTTAGTTTGGTACTTTCACTTCCGAGACTGTTTCTCTTTAAATTTGTTGCATCGAGAATGTGTCGTTTCAACTCATCTAATAGCATTTGGGATCAACTTATTCAGCTGGAGATCGAGTTTCCAGTAGATTGAGACTAAACGAAATGATTACCCTTGTGACAATGAAGTAGTCACCGCTTTATTTCCTTTTCGTAGTGTTTTCCACTTTTTGAAAGAGCTCTTTATTCAACTACCATTGACGACTGACTTTTGAACGACAGTAATTACCGTACACAGTCGATCCCATACCGCAGAATGCGCTGTAAAACATTTTCCTACTTCCTTAATAGAGTTTGCACTTAACAATGCATTGGCATTTTACATTTTGAATGTTTGAGCCGAAAAGGCGTGGCAGCTCCGCTGTCACTTCTCTGCTGTCGCGCTCATGCTATGCCTCTTCTGGGGAAGAAATCAAAAGATTCACGTTGTAAGTTCTTTGTTTTGAGTTTTCGCCAGTCATCCAACTTTGGAAAGGAGGAATATCAAGACCAGTAGACATTTTACTCTAAGTTCCTTAGGTACCACTTTTGGGCTTGATGCTTTGGAAGCTATGCATATGTGGCTTGAAGATGTGTCAAGGAAGCAAGCAAATTGTGTGATTTATTTTTGACCAAAAAATTCGGCTCAACTGCAATCCAGACCGGACTCACTTCGAGTGGACCAAACAGCAGGGATACAATACGGTCTGGGTAGGAGTTTGGAGCTGATTTTCTTGGCAGCACAATTTCGTTATTAATAAATCAAGTGATTTATCTTATCGATGCAAACTCAACAAAATCTTGGGGTTTGTACACCTCCTGTTCCTACATGACAATCTATTTCCTTTTTTCCGTTGGCTTTATGAATGAGAAGAGTGCCACATTTTGCAAAGTTCACCTTTCTCATGCATGAAAGTTGCTCTCAAAATCTTATGCTCAAATTTACGTATCCATCTGTCACTGAGGAGACTCAAAAACGCTTCCGCGCATTGTTCTGAACGAGTTTGATCGTGTGATCAACAAGCTTATAAATACCTGTGCTTTATCCCATTTTGGAATCGAGTCAAAACTAGGTTTGATTATTGCAAGTTTGTATAGGCAATGTGTGGAAAGGGTGTTCTCTAGTCAGCCATTTCTCAGCTTTCTTATTGTTATAACAGTCAGTGGTTACAGGGTCGCCAAAAAAGCATAAAATGGTGCACACCATTTTGCTGATCCAGCCTACAGTCCGACCTGATTCCCGCACATGGTCTGACTACGAAACCACCACTGATTGTCTCGAAGGTAACATAACTTTACTACAAACTCAATTATTCTGCCTTTTCTCCCCTTCATTTGTTTATCTCAATATGTTTAGGTATTTGTAAAATCTATGAAGAATTTTTGAAGAAGCAAAACCCTTCCATGGCCAGTATTACCTACGATGTGTCTCATTTGTACGAATTCATTGATAAACTCTCCGATCTCAGCTGTCTCATTTTGAATCCGGTAAGTAATTATGACGATGCCTTCAATGTCTCTGTCCATAAACTCCTCATCTATCAAAGGACACCTGCCAGTACACGCCGCACAACAAAGACTGGATCAAAGAGAAGATTTTCATAATGTTGAGGACGCAGGCGAGAAATGACTAAGAAATCGGATGGAATCTTGTCAACAAGTGTGCCGCGATGAAAGACGAGTTCAAATTAATCATGAGATGTTGCCTATTTTTCATTTTACATTGTGCGTGTGTTTTCCGATCTCTTTCTCTTTGGTGAATAAAGGTTCAAGGAGAAGTCATCCTACGAAGTATGGAGCAAATGGGGCAAGTTTTGATAATCTCATTGCGGCTAGTCATGCCGATGCGGAGCATCCAGTTTTTCTTCAGCTGAGAAGCAGCATCTGACAAGCAGTGCTTGTTGGTAGATAGTAGAACTTGTTTGCTAATCATCGCGCCAAAATTCGTATATGTAGCCATCAATCAGTCACTATGGATGAGAACATAAAGGATATTCGTCGACGACTGCCCTGACTCGTGCAATTACACCACCTTGGGCATGCTTTATTGAGGCCTTTCCAGCTTGACACTACGCTGCACCGCGTGGGGACCTGGTAGCTCGCAGCATCCCTGTCCTTTCCCTATCCTGTGTCCTACTGTCAAGCTGGAAAGGCTCCAAAATAGCCCGCCCATGATGGTGTAATTGCCTAATTGGGGCAGTCGTCGACGAATACCCTTTAACACATTGACGACCATGCAGGTTTTAGTTGTCTGCCGTCTTACAAGGCCGCCCACAATTCTCAAATATAGTTACGCATAATGCCATCTACAGTACACCTACAGTAGGTCTGAAAGGCTGACAAAAAAGTAGAGATCATCCCTAGATTCAGTGCAAAAACGAGCTCATGGAATGAGTTTATCCCAAGGTTGTTGTTATTTTGACAAATTCAAACCTTGACACACATGGCGCGTCAAGCGCTCCCATGCGGCAGTTCTTGACCCACCACGTGTGTCAAGCTGTCGTAAATGTGTTAAATAACTTAAACGCCTTAATCATCTCATTAAGTATTTGTCCCCCTGAAACATTTCTGCAGACCCAGCAACAATCACTGGATGCGCATTTATTAATGGTTATGTTCCCACTTTCCTCGCGTGATACGATTAATCCTCTGATTGAACCGGTTTGGCAATGGGCTGCACAAGAAACAACGTTTCCAATCAGTTATATGAGTTATGTTATAGGAAGAATGAAAACTGAAGATATAATTAAACACAGAAATCAATCAAGCAATCGGCATTGATATGCTAAAGAACCCGGCGTGCCCCGCTACCACGCAAACTTTGAGATTTTTCTTTGAGATTTTCAAGCGGCTGTCGATTCATAATGGCAGTTTGTTGTATGTTACCGAAATTCCCACAGTGATGGGACGGAGATCGTCTTCGGAAAGTATTTATAGGCTATATACCCCGTGCATAGGAGAGACACAGACGGCAAGAGGGGTGAAAGAGCGCTCGATCAGCGAGACGCCGACAGCGTCCGAAGTGACGCCCTGTCCTTGCGGGCGATGAATCCTATACGTGTGCCAAAAGTGGCGCAAAGGTCCGAGAGGCCTGTGAGCAGTGGGTTATCCAGGAGATATGCTTGCTGTAAAAAGGATTGATTAATTGATTATTTATTCAGTAAACAAATAAGACAGGTACGAAAGACAAGTCAAAAACGCAACGATTTACCGAATGAGAATAATAAAACAAAAAGCTCGTGGAAAAAAAAAACAAGTAAACAGATTATAGGTTAAAGGGATCTTAAGATGATACCAACATGTTACGAGAGTGAAGGTACTCAAGCAAATGAGAGCAGAAAGAGGCCGCAGAAGAATACTTCAAAAGCTGGGGGTCCAGACCATTCCAGGGCATCTGCACACGTCCAATAAAGCTTTGCTTATAAGAAGAAAGTCTGGCTTTATCGACTTTAATTTTGAACGGTTGGCCTCTTGTTACATTCACTCGCTGTGGTTCTTCAAAAATGTCAAAAAGGTTGAGGTCAAGTTCGTTCGTGGTGAGCTTGTAGATGAATGCAAAATCCGCAAGAATTCTTCTGTCTTCCAGTGTAAGGGTATGCAATTTTTTGATCCTGCCGAGATAAGACAGTTCAAATATGCCTTTTCTGGCGAAAATTCTATAAGTAAAGGACTTCTGGACTTTCTCTATAGCTTCAATCTGTGCTCTGTCTTGAGGAGACCACAGAGGAGAGCAGTATTCGAGTAAAGGTCTAACGTAGGCAATAAACAGTTTGAAAAGCAGTATGGGATATCGACTGCTAAATGCTTTGAGGATATGATTTGATCGGCATTTAGCCTTTGAAACGATCTCTGAAATGTAATGTAGGATGTTAAACCGTGCTTCCGTTCTACGCTACACTGCCATTTTCTACGCGCAAGAGCCCCAGCAACGCATCACGAGCATCGCTTAGTTGTCGATCGCACAAACTGGCCGACAGTGCGGGACACGCGACGCGCGGCTGGTACAGTTCGTGTCAATCACGTGCTCCCTTCCGTAAGCGCAATGAGCTCCGCCCCACGTTCGCGCGCGTATGGCCCGGGCATTCAAAATGGCCTCATCGATTGGAGGTCCGCACGCAATGCCCTTGCGTTGCGTATGCGTAGTTCCCATGCGAAAGGGAGTACGTAATTGACATTGACTTTAGGTAACTGAACACGATCTACGGAATTATACTGCTACAAGCTGCAATAGTTTCACTCGCGTCGCGTTTTCCGCAATGTCGGCATGTCCATGCGTCTCGACCAATAGTAAACATCCTACTAGTACAGCTGGAACCAGTCACGATTGCAGATTCCGCATGATGTGATGCCGCGGCGCAGCGGATGCGTACCGGTCGTGTGCACCTCTTCTGAGCCTATGGGCAAGGCTGAAAGTTAGTTTTACTCGAATTTTTATGGATAGTTTGCAATTATACAGTTTTGACAACGTTGAAAGGTTTGACTACCGGTCATTTTGGTTATGAAGCATGGCGGTAATTCTCAGTTGGAGATGATCAAGCTTTGTATACAAGATGCGTGGTATGAAGCATATTCTACAACATAGAATCCATGAATGTGCAGTAACGTGATCGACGTGCTCCACGGATTCGTATCGCGGCCGCGTAGCGAATCGTGCGCAGGTTGGCAGTGCAGAATTTCTTCCGGGAACGTGCCCCTCTGCGTTCCCAAAGCCTTTACTACCGGGAATGATTCACTTCTCAATTCATCGACGTACAATCAGGGCGAAAAATGGCATTGGTGCGAACTTTGATAGTGATCAACGCATCGTTTCAGGCCGTGACTGCGCTCAACGAGGGGTGCTTCCTCGTTTTGGTATGGCACAATTTTGTGCGAATAATCGTGACGTTGTGTGCTATTTGGTCACTAAACATTCATGGAAAGGGAAGTGAGTGTGCTAGATATCTATCTCTTGATTTTATTGGTTTACAATGCCTTTTAGGACTTCGAGCCACTTTTATACATTTTTTAGTGTTATTTTATGATTCTATTTTCTTACACTTTTGATCTACAAGCGATCCTTCAGATACAAGCGAATATTCTCCATTGGAACCCTTGCCATCACTACTTATAATCCTCAGACATTAGAAATCACCAATCAGGTATGTTTTGCTGGGTATTATGTTTGTTTACGTTAGGATCATCTGACTGTCACTATTTCAGTGGCAATATGAAGACTTCCTTGCCATAAAGCCTTCACCAAGAAATGCAACAAGCGAGTCCAAACAAGATGAATTTATCATTTTTGTCAGGCACCGAGGCAAGAAGGCACGTGATCAATACCTAGGGTTTTGATTTATTATCGAAGCTTACTGGGATCTTTACGGTTGTAATTCAATATCTTGATCAACTTGTTCAGTCTTTATTCATCCGCTAGTTTCTTTTAGGATACCATGAGGTTCTCGTCCGATTTCACGCCGCAGATTCTTACCGACTGTTTACAGTTCAACTCGAAGTTCGCAGAGCGAAATACAGAGCCCATTGTGAGTTTATTGGAGGCTGCAGTATCTCTGTTATTGACACTGTTCTCTCTTTTTCTTTTCCCTGACTTTGGAAAACTCGTACAGACAAAAGTGACGTTCGATTTTCCTGTAATATCAATGGATTATATCGCGAAAGTGTGTGTCATCCCATATCAGAGGGCGCACTGCTGAGCATCACTTCAAAAGTGCTTTGCTTAGTTTTTTTATCATGACTTTTGGACTGAGACGGCATAAAATCGTGCCTGAAAGGGAAGCGCAACCACTTTTACTTCCTAAATGCGTTAGAATACCAGGAGCCCTGTATAAGCAGTTACATTCAAAAAAGGTACCTCTTTCGAAAATCGAAAAAAACGTTTCCCCTAGTAAAACGAAGCTATTCGTCTGATACCAAAGGTGCTAGTTTTGAATTATTCTTCCACCGTTACCTTATAGGCAGTAAACGCTTACAAGCACAGCTGGTCAGACAGACGGTTACCCGTAATCTTGCGAGCGAGCGCGGCTTGTATCGAGCAAGTGGACAGTCGAGGAGTGGTGATCCAAGCCTACCCATATCGAAAGATTCGCAAAATTTTACGAGTAAGCTCTAGTTTTCTTTTCTGCTTCTATCACCATTTTATGTTTATTTCTAGGTCTCAGATTGCCCTGGCGGGTTCATCATAGAGGTCGGCGATCATTTGCGAAGGGTAAGCCTAGGAATGTATTTACCTTTTCACCAGCTATTTACCAGCTCAGTATCTTTCTTTCGAATTCAGATTTATTGCAATTTCTAGCGTGTTTCAGCATCTTTTCGCTTCCACCAAGACCGACGACTTTCTGAAAGATGTGCGACGATTAGCTGCAGAAAATCTTGGTGTGATCGTTCCAATAACGAAAGAAGCTGCCACACTAGACGAATTTGCTCTTACCCGGCTCGGTTTATGTAGGTTGGTAACTATTTTATTGCTATATCCGCACATCTTATGCGAACTTTTTCTTTTATGAGTGAAATGTTTTTACAGTCGAGATGATCAAATTACCTCTTATGCCGAGTTCAAAGTGCAAAAATACAGTCGTCGTCACGAACAACCTGCGCGACGATTGCTTTGCCTTAGTGAAACATGCCTTGTCGAACGTGATCCAGCCACCTATGCTGTAGTTTGTGCGACTCCATTGGAGCAGGTGTGAGCTGATCTCTAGAATGACCTAAGAAAGGGAAACGAAGTACGGTTCATGCATTTTCTTTCAGATTGTTTGTCTGGTCCGTTTAGAGAAGGATCCTCAACAGTTTGTAGTCGAGTACATGAATGCTGAGGGCAGGGTGTACTCAGCTGCTGAAAGGTGGATTGGTCATAATGTAGAATTTTGTTTCAAAGCTCGTTATCATTTTCTTTAGAGATCTTATAATTGCGTCACTTGTTGATGGTATACGTGCTGCTGGAAATGAGCAAGTAAGCCAAAAGTTGGAATGTTTTTATTGAGAGTTGTAACAATTATTTCAAGGTTTTCGTAACCAGCCATAGGTTTGATCAGCCATTACGACTATTACCTCATGGTCTGTTGCTAGATGAAGATGGTGAATCACAATGCATGCGACACGTTATCGCGCCTCCCCGTGAGCCAAACATTCTCTTTTTTTACATTTCGGAGAAAATTCTCACCTTTTTCTTCTATCTTATTATTGCTCGTCTTGATGAAAGTCTTTCTTTGATGATTCGATATTCTTTGGCCATTTAGCCGGTTTGAAGCGGTCCGATCTCATCCGACGATTCAATGCGAACATCCCATATACGGGCCTGACTTACTCTGTATCTCAAGAAGGATTTTTCACCGAGAATAAGGGCAAAGTGATTGTTGCTGCATTAGAAGCAGTTTTAGGCGAGTGCTATGAGAAGGTACGTGCTTTTTCTAATTGTTTCTGTTTGCCTTTTTTGAATACATCGCTTCGCTGCTCAGCAAGATTTTGATGTTTAAGGATGATCCAACCCACGTTTACAAGATTGAAGCACAACTGCAGTGTTTGCGAAGGTTATTCGCTTCAAAAAGTGGATTCCAAGCCTTCACAGAAGTTGCGGGGTACGTCTGTCTGAGCACTTTATTAGATAAGCTTATTAATTCATCTTTTTTTTCTGATTTGCCCTGTTGCGTTATATCTAGATTTCTTATATTTTTTTTATGATTCAGAATTCGCGAGAAGCTGGGGACATTGGTTATACGAGTTTTATCTTACAAAAATGAGGCTATCGATCATGCAATTGTGGAAGCACTGTGCGCTTTGATGCATCCTATGCATAACCAGTATGAGCTACGAACGGAGCAACTCAACAAGCAAAGTCTCCTTAGCAGTTCAAAATTTGTCGAACATTTACTGGATCTCATTGTGAACCATGTGGTGTGTCTTTACAGCATACTTATTACAAATTTTTTTGAATCTTTTCACTGATGTGCTTTATTCTTTCCTATTTTAGGAGCGAGGTACGGGATGGCTGGTAATAGCATCCATGCTCGACTTCCTCACTTACGCCGTGTGCGCACCTTACAGTGAAACCACTACTGGAGACCAGTTTGACCAAATTCTGCGGCTTGTCGCAGCTCGTGGGCAGAGCTTCTATCGATTATTTCAATGTCCAAGCATGACCATAGTCAAAGGTGAGGTTTCTTCATGAGTTTAGTTCTAATCAACATAAATTTTTAGGGGCTGGAATGGTGATGAGGGCCATCATTGAGGAATCAGACGTAGAGACATCGAAATCTATGCAAATGCTTGCCCTCACAGAAGGAGCTTTTCTCACTCATCTGCGGCTAGCTCTATTGGCCACTGGCAAGGATCTCACGGTCGGTCCACTCAATTGTTGAGCAACTTCTTCGGTTAAGCCTTTTCTTTGCAGGTTTTGACTAATAAACAACTGAGTGGTCATTTGATTGGTCTTTGGATTGCTGATAACAAAGCTGCTGGCGATCTTTTGGGCCGATGCCTTGTAAGCATATATCGCAATTCGCTCCTCCATGGACTCGCTTCAGTATAAATGTTCACCATTATATACATAGCTTTAGCCTCGCGGATTGTTGGATTTCCTTGACTCGGATGCAAAAGTTCCAGTGAAAGAGGCGGATCTACTCATACCTCGAAATAATTTGGAAGCGGCCACAATTGAGACACGACAGAGCGCTTTGAAAGAAAAACTCGAAAACATAAGGTTTGTTGTAAACAGGGCTCTTTCTTTCTTGTTTTCGAGAAATTTGTAATGATACGGGTTTAAGAGTGACGGCTGAAGCCGGTCTCGAACGATTCATACAGCATTGGGATCTAGAACAAAAGCTCAGTTTCTTGCCACGCAAACAAGACGTAAGTCGGTGCGCAAAATGTTCGAATACGCAGTGTTCGTTCAGTTTTTAGGATTCCTTTTTTTCGTGATCTGTCATTTTATCCTTTTTGCTCTTGAGAGTTCCACTTACTTTCAAATTTAGGAGAAACCACGGCAGCGTCCGGTTGTATTGAGAAAGAGGCGACAACGTGTTCGTAATTCTGTGAACTGGAAACTCTTCGCGTACCAGTTTGGTAAAGATCATTCTCAGGCAGATCTCCTATGGAATGAGAAGACTAGAGAAGAGTTTAGGTAGTTTTGTCATCAGTTTCTTGTTTTTCTACGAGTGATAAAGTTTTCGTTTTTTGTAATTAATTCCATCATATTATCTTATCTTTCTTATTGGTACCGTTGTAGGCTTGCAATAGAGAATGAGCTTCGCGCACTCCAGAACGAAAAGGAGCAGGCACCTTCAGATGTGCCAATTTCGTGGAACCATACTGAGTTTCAGGTTTGTACTCGTTCTTCTTAGTTTCGGCTTGAATAATCTACTTTCTTTATGTTTGTTAGATTCGCTATCCATCGTTGCAAGAAGAAGTCAAGATCGGTGACTACTACCTTCGACTGCTGCTACAGGAAGCTGATGAGACTGCTACACCTATTCACAATCCGTAAGCTAGTGCAGGTTTTCTTCCATTACTCAGATTTATGTATATATTTCTAGGACTGATTTTTTCAACAACGTATACCATCGCTTTCTTCTGTCGGCAAGGTGTGAAATGCGATGTCTTTGCCTCAGAGCTATGGCCGTCACTTACGGCCGCCATCACATGACAATTGGCCCATTTGACGATTCTCGGCATTTTGTCAGCATGCTTGCGAAGTGCACGAACGCTGCAGAACGTGACCATTATGTGAGTGCAACTCGCACATTGCATAAAACCAAACTTATGCTTTGTTCTTGCAGATATTGCTCATATCGAAGCTGGTCTTGAATAAGGACAATGTTAGAGAACTGATCACCTCTCACTTGCTTCCAATCTTAGTTGATTTGGCCGCACTCGCCCATCTTCATGTTCAGCGAGCAAAGATTCAGAATCAGGTCTGTGCGTTCATCACACAAAATTGGCATCACTAGGACTGAAATCTTCCAGACTAACGTAATAGAAGCTAGTTCTGAGCAGATGAGTGAAGGAAGCTCTGCAGAGTGGTATTACGCAGCTAGCGATAACAGCAAGGAGAGACTTGGGCCATTTTCTTTCGAAAAGGTGGGCGCACACCTTTTTTCGTTTAACATTATAGTTGGATTGACTATGTAGGATGAAGTGTTTTTCTCCAAGGGACATGTATTTTTCCGATGTTCTGCATTCTGATCCCATGAGGTTGCTTTGCATGATTATGATGACACACTCGAATAGCTTTCCACCTTCACGTGCGAGATCTGCATCAAAGAAGCTCGTGTTACAGATGAAGGAATTATACGCGGAGAAGAAAATATTTGAAAAAACAGCTGTATGGGCAGCAGGATTGGAAAAGTGGGAACCGCTCAGCAAAGTACCGCAATTTCGATGGACAGTGTGCCTTAGCCATCAAGTACTGTCTTATTTTCTGGTGTAATCATGTCGCTTTCTTTTCTTTTCTTTCTTTTTGTCATCGGAGTTTCCCTTTCTAGCAAACTGGAACCCCGCTATATAACTTCACTGAGCTTTGCGCGCTATGTCTTGATATATTGATCCAAATGTGCGAGTTCTTCCCATCTAGGTGAGTATCATCTCATTCTATCTTCAATCAGAAAATACAGGGTGCGGCAAAAGTCTGGGAGCCTAGTACTTTTTCGTACAAAACGAGAAGGGAAGTACCTAGAAACGAAAAATTTGGCGCACACATAATTCGAACGATTGCAGATACAGCCCAGTTCTTGAATTGCAAAACTTCCTCTTTTGGCTTCCACGCAGCCCTACAAAATCTTGGCAGGTCCACCTGTCATGGCACGCAGGTAGTCGTAATGGAATTCGCCCCACGCCTTCAAAATAACTACTTCTTTACCTTGGCAAATGCGCAGCATGATAGAGCAAACTTTTGCCTACAACATATTTCCAAAAGAATTTTTTGCACTGCTTAGGAATACAAGTATCGGATTTTCAATTAGAAGCATGTGTGCGTTGCGTACCGGAATTTTGGCTACAACTGCGCGAATAAAAGCTTAAAATTATCGTTTAAAAAGTATAAGAAGTGTTTCCATGGCGGAATTTCAATGGATTCTAATTTAGAAGACGTATGCAAAAAATACAGCCTTGGTTCCAGTGCCTGTTGAGCATTCTATAGCTTTTAAATTTGTTTTGAAGACGGATTTCCACTGGCACGTAGGTAACATTCCAAACTTTTATTTTCCGTTCATGCAAGAACAGCTCCTAACAAAAGCAAAACTAGGATACAATAGCGCAAAGCCTCTTCTATGTCGTGTGCATCGAAGTTTTGTAAAATATTAACAGCTACAGCAAAAATTGTAAATACTAAAATTCTGGCTTTTTCGCTTTGCAAGAGTATTATTTTGGTAATATGCATTCTTACAAAAACATATGGCAGCCATTTCCAGCCAAATAAAGTGTATTCTGTAGAGAATGACCGCAGCATCATGAGGCATAAAATTGAAAACAAAACCATCAGTATCTTTATAATTGCAGTACTGCAAAGTTAGGCTCCCAGACTTTTGCCGCACCCTGTATAATTGTTGAATTCTAGCGTTCCTTATCTCTTATCTCCTTCTCATCGTTCAGCATATGAAACCTATTTTTTAGGGATGAAAATAACAGCGTTGTACGGCCAATGCCTCAAGTCAAGAAGAGTCTCACAGAACCGGTATTATTGTATCAGATTGTTCAACTTCTACTTACTTACGATCCAAGTATTGTTCAACGGGTCGCTACACTAGTGCATCTGGTTATGCAGGTAAGTCTAGCGTTGCTTAAAACTAAATTTTTCCTTTTCATCATCATTTTAGGACAATCCTTTCCTTCCTCGTTTATACTTGTCTGGTGTTTTCTTCTTTATTCTCATGTATAATGGCTCCAACGTGCTGCCCATTGCTAGGTTTTTGCATTACACGCACAAGAAGCAAGCATTCCGAACCGCATTGGTAGGCATAGTGCTTATCTCTTGCTCATGGTTCATCTCACTTGTTTAGCCACAGTTAGAGGGTGCATCCAACTCTATTCTTGCTCCGTTGTTGCCAGCGGCGGCTATTTTCTATCTTGAGGAGTATGGACCTGATAAATATGCGGAGGTTTTTCTAGGCGAATTCGATAATCCTGAGATTATTTGGAGCACACAGATGAGGTTTGTTAGTTCCAGCTTCACGTTTGGTTACGTCATTTTTTTGGATGGCTTCTACCATTTTACAGGCGTCATCTTATTGAACGAATTGCTGTGCATGTGTCGGATTTCTCCAATCGGCTTACTTCTAATGTAAAAGTGAGTGCTGCTCTTTTTGCAAAAAGAGCTTATTTCATCATTGTTTCAGGCGTTATATCAGTATTGCCCAATACCACTGATAGACTATCCAGAACTGCAAAACGAGCTGTTCTGTTATGTATACTATTTGAGACATCTTTGTGACCGACAGCGATTCCCAGACTGGGAGATACGAGATCCGGTAAGATTTCAAAGTTTTACTGTTTTCTTTTTTTTCGAATAGATAAACATGCTTTCTGTTCTTGTGATAATGAATAATTACGCGCTTTTAACCTTCAGATTCCATTCTTGCGAGCTTGCCTGGCCGCATGGTTTGAAGAATTAGAGAAGAAACCACCTGCCATGTCCATTGAGCAAGCTCGAGAAACTCTAGGCCTGAATACAATGGAAGATGGGTCAGTTTCTCTTAAAATTTCTATGTTCTGAACTGTAACCAGTGTTTTATTTTATGCTCTCTTGTTTGCAAAACTGCTATAATTTTCATTCATCAAGCGCTATTTGCAGATGGCAGGATGCCGCTGTGGTTCGTCGAGCTTATTTCAAGCTGGCTGCGAAATACCATCCTGACAAGAATCCCGAAGGTCGAGAGATGTTCGAAAAGATCAATACGGCTTACGAACTGCTTTCGAGCGATGCTGGTCGATCATCTATGCCTGATGCGCATCGCATTGTTCTATTCCTCCAAGCGCAGAGTATCATCTACAGCCGTCATAGCAAAGGTATGGTTCATCGAGCCAGTTACATATGAGTTCGTCATATTGACAGTCCATTATGTGCATTTTCTCTTTTTTCAGAGCTCTCCGAGTATAAATATGCCGGCTACGGGCAACTGATTCGTACTATCGATCTGGAGGCTCAAAACGCGTCGCTTTTCCAAGAAGGTGGTGGTGCTTTGTTGAGTGCTGCTATCGAATTGGCAAATTACACTCTTGTGAGCAGCGCCTTGAACGCCGAACAACTCCGAAGAGAACAAGGACTTGAGGTGATTATTTCTCGATTAAATAGGTCGAGCCATTGTTTGGGTGTGCGTTCTTCATATCTCACGCTTGAGTGACTTGCCTATATTCATGAATTGCTACTTTAGGCTTTGCAAACAGCGTTTGATCGATGTGTACCAGTAATTACCGTCAGCTCATCTCCAACGGATATGGCAGTTCAGGTATCCACGGCTTTATTTTCTAGCCGCGTGTTTTCACTTTGGTTTTCGTGATTCAATCTCTGTTCATCTTTTAGGTTTGCGAGCACATCTGTAACTGTTTCGGCACCGCCTCTGCTTTCGAGGCTTGCCGTCACCGAATTGCAGAGATGCCCACTGTGTTCAGTAACGTCTGCCGATTACTGCAATTTCCGGTAATTCATGACCTTTTTTGCTGACTTATGTTTTTACCCCGAGGTTCCTACATAGTAACTTCATGATGCTCCGAGATTTCAGGAGCTTCCTCGGCTTTCCTCTGCAGCTGCGCAATGCATATGCCAAATGGCAGTGGATACCCTGTTGCAAACACAATTGTTCCAATCAGGCATTCTTTGGCAACTTGTTCCACATCTTTTCCATTATGACTTTACTCTCGATGAAGGAGGTAACATGCTTTCGATTTTACTTTGTCTACTTTTGTTCACTTCGTTATTTAGGTGTATCTCACAGCGAAGAGTCCAATAGGCAAGCGATGGCGAACAAATTGGCCCGGATTTCTTGTGAAGCCTTGGCTTGCTTGGCTGGGTTTAGGTAAAATTGAATCATTTGTCAATTTGTTTAACATGAGACTGATGAAGATGCTTTCAAGGGAGAATACCCCTGAGAATGATGGAGTGCAGAATAGCCTACGTGCTCTGTTGACACCATACGTGTGCCGATGTATGCGTACAGAAACGAATGACATGGTTTGTTTACCTTCAAATGAGATATTTCCTCTCACAAATTCTTACTGAAACTTTTTTTGTGCTCTTATGCTTGATTGCTTTGTTTTTCTGGACGACTTGGTTTAGGTCCTCAAAACGCTGAACAGCAATACAGAAAATCCATACCTTATCTGGGATAATGGTACTCGCGCTGAAGTGCTGGAATTTGTTGAGCGGCATCGCACATCAAGAGAGCAAACGGTTTGTGCTTTTCGCTATTTGCTTGGATGTTGATCATCCGTACAACTTCAGAGTGAACTGTTCGGCGCTGAGTTCCAGCTGTCAATCCATGCCAAGGAACTCATCGTTGGTGATATCTTTGTACGAATATACAATGAGCAGCCAACATTCCCACTACTGGTATGTTTAAATCCGGTTTGAGATTTACCCGTGTTTGTGCATGTTCTAGGAGCCGAAAAAAGTTGCCATGGATCTTCTTGATTTCATGGGACGCTATGCTCCCGAGTTGACAGGTCATTTCAAAAAGCCAGTCAATGGTGATCTTATCGAAATTGACTGGTCATCATCGAATGCAAACAAAATGTCTTCGGATGAGAAAGTTACCATGTGCACCGAGGCTCTGGCGAATCTTGTCACGGCTAATCCAGGTAAATGCTAGTTTCTACTTTTTGCTTGGAAATTTTGTCGACATCAGCCGCATTTTTATCTGCTTATGATTTTTTTTTACCTTGAAGCTGGGAGTTGTTAGGTGTACTTACCTCAGTTGTATTGGTACTTTTTTGGTTCTTTTTTTTGTATAAATTCTTTCTTTCTCGTACACTACACATTCTAGCTCAAATGGCGATGAAGGGTGAAAGTAAGTTTGTCATATCAGTGTAGTGATCGATTATACCTAGTTGAACTAGTGCTGAGTGATTTTGTTTGTCCACGCCTAGTTCATGAATTTTATTCCCACTTCATTCTGTTCTCCTTTGTTTTGCTATAATTGTTCATCCTTTAATTTAGTACATTCCAGGGGTAGAAATTCTATTGATTGGTCATTTCCATCTAATCATCGCTTATCTTCGTGCTCGGTTGTATCCGCAGATACAGATGGCCAACCTCAAAGTGAGCCCACTATTTAACAAGTGTTGTATTCAAATGATTGCTTTCGTGTTCCAGCTACTGTCATTAGCTGCAGCAAATAAGGAATGTGTGCAAGATTTGTCAAATCAGCATGCTTGCTCTTCATTGTTTGTGTTGATGAGAGAACGAAAAGACGGTGGGTGGACTAGCAGCTTTAGAAGTGTATTTTGGGTCAAAAAACATTCCTTACGAACTTTCAGCACTTCCTCTCATTTTGAGCACTTTGATCGCGTTATCATCCAACGGTCAAATCGTAAAGGAGATCTTAGAATTTGGTTAGTGCTTTACTTTTTCTGTGTGTAAACTCATAGTTTCCGTCAATTTTTGATCGCTCAAGTTTATCTTCTTTATTTCGAAACAACATCAGCCTGCTGAAGGCTTAACACTTCTGTATATACCTTTTCATACTTATAGGCGGCTTGCTGTACATACTGTCAGTCTTCTGCTCGCCTGATAGTGATCCTGGTGAAAGGTTGCAATCCGCTGAATTGCTAACTAAGCTGCAGGTATTTTCTGTTCGTTTTTTCTGTGCGTGTTGTTCTGGTGCAAAGTGTATGTTTATACTGTAAAATTTATTTTGTACAGAAATTGTCCATTCTGAATTTTTTTAGGCTGACAAATTGACAGGACCTCGATGGACCCGTTTCATCACGAAATATCTTCCACCGATATTTGCCGATGCTTTGCGAGACTCTCCAAATACTGCGTAATGATTATCATCGACGTTTTTTGTCGTTGATATATCTTTGTTTTCTTCTGCTTAGGATCACGATGTTCGATTCTACCAACGAAAATCCAGAGCTAATTTGGAATGATGCAACCCGAAACAAAGTGCGAAAAATCATAGAGCGTGGTGTTGAAGACCTATATCGAGCGCAATCAAGCAATCCAGAACACAAATGGGATACTGTAAGTTTGATATCTGCTGTTTCCAAAAGTGTCACTTGTACGATAATTGTAGGGCTCTCTCGCTGACGATAATTGTGCATACGCTGATTCTGTCACTGGAGAACTTGTTGTTGGTGGAGTGTTTGTGAGGTTATATGTGGCGAATCCAGCATGGGCGGTTCGTCATCCAAAGCAGTTCGCCACGGAACTTATAGAGAAGTATGAAAACGCTTAGACCTCTTCAATCTCTATATATATAAAGCAGAAAATCTGTAAGTTTGTGTGTTTGTGCACATCTCCAGTGGTGCAGGTTGTGCAGGATGTGTAGGGTGTGCAGGGTGTTCACGGTGTGCAGGGTGTGCAGGTGGGCAGGGTGTGCAGGATGGGGAGTTCAGCCTGATAGACTGGCTCCAGACCGGAGTGAAACCCGGGATGCCTGCTCGTTTTAAAATAAATCTGCTTCCAGAGTTCTGGAGTTGATGCACAAACCTAGTCCCGATCTTACGCTAGTAACTTCAGCTTTCATAGAACTGCTGCGGAACTTCCCGAATACTGCAGATCAGGTTGATTTTAGCCTTAGTTTTATTTTAGTCTTTTTGCAAATCTTAATTGCAAATCTGACTTCTGATATCTTTGTGGTTCAATGTCTTTCGTTGGATATCTTATGTCATTGCTATGCATTATTTTCAGCTACCTGCGCAAGGTTATCTTCCACAGTTCAGCAAAGCAATGTCAGCTAAGGATCCGCAAACATCTCGCTCTGCAATTCTCATTCTTCAGCAACTTGCTGAGAATAATGTGAGTGCTTCTTATTATCGATTTATTTTTTCTCCATTTTTGTTTTTCGTTTCTCAACATGTCTGTTAAACTCGTAGATTACATACTGTTTCTTCGGGTGAATTCTTGTAACGACACATTACTGCTTTGTCACTGTGATAAACATTTTGAGCTAACTTATCGATTTATCGACATTTTCAGTATTGTGCTGATGCACTTTCGCAGATCAACTGCATCGAAGGTATCATGAATTCCATGAAAAATCAGCCAAGTGGGTTTTTATATCAGGTTACGGTCCCTTTATTCGTGAGAGTTTGAATTATAGCATTGATGCACGAATCGGCACATGCTCTGAAATGTTTGATGCGAAGGAACAGTGGAAGTCTTTCGGCACAGATGTTGTCCACAGGAATGGTTGATTATCTACTCGAAGTGCTTCGTGGTGATCTGCCAGGTATCTCTTCAAGCAAGATCGATGGACCAGAAAAAATGGCTCTTTTTAGGCGTTTCAAACTCTCCAGCTGCTCGAGCTGAAATTGTAGATGCATTGAAGAGCGCTTGCTTGGATTTGCAAGTTGGCCAGCAAATCTCGGACATTCTGAATAAATCTCCAGTTTGGGCTCAGTATCGTGATCAACGACACGATCTATTCTTGCCTGCTGCTAGGACGCAGGCAATTACAGGTGAGATCAGCTGTCATCGTTTTCTAAGTTATTCCTTTGTCTTATTTTTTAGTTCTCGTTTTTCCTTTCCTTTTCTTGCGTTTGGTTCAGTTTTTTTTCATCCAATACCCTAAAATACTTACTTAGGCACTTCTACCGGTGTTGCTGGATACTTGACTGAAGGCATGTTCAGTCCTCCACCACTACACTCTCAACCCCCTCCTATAGAACGAACAGGCTAGAGTTCTCCCCTTGCTTAGCATCTGGTGCTTTCCAAAACATCGCCCAACATTTCTGTCAATATACATTTTGTTCTGATTCTAACTCGCGTATTCATCCTCGTCATCACTTGCCGTAATTCATTGTCCGAGTGCCCCAAATTATCACTGTGAATTGCCCTGTATATAGAAGTATAGTGCAATTGCTTCGTCGTGTTCTTTTCAAGTTCGTGTATCTACGAGTGTCTTCCAACGCTATTGAATGTGATAATGAAAGCTGCAAAGTATCTATACATTTTTTTTCTTTGATTAACCTTTCTATGCATTGGGCCTTATAACTAAGTTCGCAGTTTTTTATCGTGAGATAAGTATACACGAGTACACGTAGCAATGATCATCCAAATGGCTTATCTTAAATTTTCACTGGAATGTTTTGTATATTTTGTACGATTTTGCATAAATATTACAATTTTGATTCACTTCCCTCTTATATGGTGATTGGAGCTAATCAGAAGTGTTGCTTATTGTTAGTGGAGCGCAATCTTTAGCAGAATTAGTATAGTATATTTTTATCTAACATACTAACACCGTAACGCCTCCGGTGAATTTCGCCAGTCCATTGAACAAAAGCCGCAACTTTGCCGACATACACGAAAACCGAGGCGAAAATGCTCCGAGTTGCAGGACCACCTGATTTGGAATCATTCGCAAGAAAAGGTGAAAAGATGTTTTGTACCTCTTTGTACTCCAAGAATCCGAACTTGACTGAAATCGGCTACAGTAGCTCGAACTCATTCGATCGAAACAGTAAGTGCCATTACTTGCGGTGTTGAAGAACCTGAGGAAAGCAATTTGAGTTCTAGCACATCAAAATGTTGGAAAAAGGGAGGATACGAAGTGTAATCGTTTTCGTGCCGCAAAAGTTGTTTAAGATAAACGATTCATAGGCATCGCCGCAGCGCAGCCGAGGTTGCGTGTCTGCGTTGCATCTAAATCTACACGCCTCACGATGGAAATTTTACTTACAATGCTCCTCGTTCTTTGAAGTCGACGGTCACATCGTTGCAAGATTTGCAGCAGATTACAAGTGAAAAATCGGGTTCTGTATTGCATCTGAAAATAAACAAAATTTTCTTACAAAGTTTAGTTAGGCCAAGTCTTGAACAGGTTTTTAGAGTTTTTTGGACGTTTGTTTGGCAAATATGATTCAAATCTAACTTTCGAAGAAATTCTTTAGGATTATGGGCCCTTGTCGTCCTGCATACCGCTCCGCCCGATTCATCCTGGCAACATGGGAGAGCTCGAGATGAGTCAAGCATAGCTGCACTCGGATAGGTTTGTCCCCGTCCTGGAAATTTTGAACATCAAAGGAAGGTAGTGGCGGCGATTGCGGTATGGGGTTTTGGTTTGAAGGATTGGGACCTAGCGAGACCATTGCTCAGGCAGCAGCTCATATGATTTGATCGTGGCCAAAAAATCAGCTCTAAACCTCGGCGCAGACCATACTTTCCTCTATGAAAGGGGGTGCTGATTAGTTGGTTAAGACTGCGGTCTGAGCTGGGTTCAGGGTGATCTTACACGCGAGAAGCTTCAAATTTTCCCCGAGAAATGCATCCGCAAGTCTTATTATTCAAGGAAATATTTGCTGCATTGACTATTTGAAATTTTGAAATATTCTAAAACATTATTCACTAAGTATCTAAGTATAATTTTTAAGTACTTACCATTCACTTTGTGTCGCGAAAATGTCCTACTGCGTATCGAACCTGGAGGAATGATTGAGAGCTTATGGCGGTAGTGGAATTGCGCTACTGAAAATTTAGAAATTGATTTCACAAGCTGTCTTATGATAGAAACTTACTTGTTAAATTGCTGAGATGTAATAATAAAACTAGCAAGCCTATCATAGACGAAGGTGGTTATGTGTTTTCTGAAATAAAAATGGAACAAAAAAGAAAATATGATGAGCCCAGTTATAATAATTCGTGAAAAATCCACTTTTGGGATTTGGAGGAAATTATAGCTTTTCAAGATAATTCGATATGTTCGTCGCTGATATGGATAAAATGCAGAATTGTTCAGGCACATGAGTAAATTTAAAAATGATGAGGTCATTGTTATGCACACAATTAAGAGAAAGACGTTGATTTATAGATTTCATGGCATTTTATCTCCCGGTTCATGCGTCACACAATTTAGCACTCAAGAAAATCAGAATAATGAAATGATATGAATTTATAGGCACAAGAGTCCTTTGTCTTCAAATAGAATGTTTTTCTGTTGAAATTTGAATCATGAATGCCAAGACTTGAGATTTATGGAAAAGAACATTCGCGGCAATTTGATCTATTTTGAGTTGAGCGAGTAATCAAAAGATCTGAGATTTGCGATCCTGGTATCGCATCACTGTGTCTAAGAAATGATGTGTTTTATATGAGCAAAGACAGCGACGTGATCTCGCTGTCATCCCTCTGCTTGACTCGCTCGCTATTTGATGTTCCAATTGCGACATTGCTCATATCTATAATAGCAAAGATAGCTGGGATCAGAGTCTGGACCAAGAGATTAGGAAATCAATACGCCTGGAGTATTGCGTACATCTCACGCGTACTCAAAACATCTGCAAAAAAAAATAGTAATAAGAAAAAACTTACCATAAAAAAGGTAATATCTGGTCAGAGTAGAACTATAAATGAAGCTGCAAAAGTTTGAGCATCTTGATCTTACTTGTGATTTTTTTCCAAGTCGTTGACTCTGCAGCTGATTTGAAAACCTGTTGTCTTGCTCAAACTCAACATCCTAATTCTGGCTGGGATAAAGAGAATAATAGGGAAAAGGAAAGATAAGCTCAGACTCTAAGGTCGATTTGCTGGTAAAAGATTCTTTCATTATCAAATTAGCTTACAAGGAAACGATACTTGGTGACCCGGCCATGTGGAATGCGATGTATACCATAAGGTGCATCTCAAAACGCTGATTCTAAATTTGTGCTCGAAATCTGCGAAACGATCATTTAAAGAAGGCAGTTATGAACTTTTTTCCTAGAGAATTTGCGTACTTTCAGGTAGTTAAAATCACCCAGTTTGATCTATTTTACCGTTTGAAGCTATTGAGGAGAATGTGGAAAGGTGTAGCGTTGTATTCATACCTATCTAAGCAATATTCAGCATTTGAAGAGGAAAGAAAAATTTTTATTAATGATTTTCACCCTTCGCCGTAGGGCAATTCATTTTTGAAAAAATAATCGTAACTCAATCCACGTTCTCGTTTCGCAGATATGGAAGACAGTATTCGAACCAGCATTGAAAGGCGCATTTTTTGATATACAAATCATTATGCATGGCCGGGGTAACCAAGTATCGTTCCCTGCTTAGATGGAACAAATTAAGCGGGAGGCAATGTTTATTTCGGAATTCGGGAGACTTTAGCTAGATATTGCCTAAGCTGCTGCTTATATGATTCATTCTTAGTTTGAATAATTAACTCTAATATCAGACAAACCCTAATGATTCCGGGCTGACAAATCAGTCTTGTACGGTAGAAGGTGCAGTGTGGAGCTCAAAATAGAATGTAAGAGAATTGTAACAGCTTTCCATTGAGCAATGGGTTAGTCAAGGCCTCGCTATACCATCAACACTCGCAAAAGTTCAGATACCCAAACTTGCCTGGACACCGTATTCAAGTTGTGCCATTGTATCTGCATTATGGAGTGTTTGAAAAGTTTCAAAATTTACTCAGCTGATCTGCAAGTAACGTTTTCTTATCTCCCAACCTTTAGCATGTTATAACATCACAGCCATCGGTACGAACTGGCCCCCAAGGATCTCAAAAATTTCGTACGTCCTAAAAAAACGTCGATCAAATAAAACGTCCCATTTAGTGTCTTTTTGGCCGTAAAAACGATATCTCTTTGCTTTTATTTTCTCAAAAACGATGTCGCTTGACCCGGTGCCAGCTGTGCCGAGCCCTGAATCACTTTCTCTAACAGATTTGATCTTTAGTCTGCAATCGCGAAAATTCAAGGTAGGATTGGATTGACGACTGTATTGTCCCACATTTACTACATACTACTACATTTGGTAGGGAAAAAGGACTTCCTGCTGTCGCTCTTTTTCATCCAATCGCAGTTATCTGCTTTGGATATCTTGCAAGTTATCAAGCTGTTTTAGGTGGATAATGCGTGATGCCAATTAGTCGTATAATTTCGTTCAAGAATATGATCCTTTTGCTGTGGATCCGCATGAGACTCTAAAAATCGTGTGAGCTGTTTTGCATTTCAAAACTCATAACAACGTTACGTATATGCTGATAATTTTGAATCCTAATTTGCATGAGAAAATTTTCTCGAAGTTGCTAAGGTAATGATCGCGCGTGCTATCCTACCTTTTTTTCCAAATCATATAGCCGAAATCCTCAAAAATTTCTGAAGAAAAGATTGAAACGTTGTAAGTTCTATCTCTATGGAATTGTGGAAAATAATGTACATAAGATGGGACCCTTTTTCGCAGCTGTGGAAAAAGGGTCTACAGCTTTCCATGCTGTATCGGAAGGTATTAACGTATTATATAGAAGCGTTAAACCACAAGCTTTCTTGCTAGTTCCCGTCAAGATTCTTGTTCTCGCCAGATTTAAGCTTCAAAAAAAGAGAACAATTTAAGCAGCTCATGTCACGCTTTTCTTTTTAACCTGCTGTCACTTTCTACGAATCTTTTGCTGTTTGAAAAGTATTTAGTCATCAGATTGTCGCGCTTGAGCTGACGAATGTTTGCCAACGAAGTGATGTGTACATAGGATACACAGGCCTTTGTCCTGTGAATTTTCGCTTGCGTCCCTTCACGACTCTTCGCTGGCTAACTCTCACATCCATTATGTTCTATCAGGTTTACTAAAAAATATTGTGTTTTGAATAAATCAATTTCTGCAACCCGTATTTACGAAGATATGACGAGAATTTTGAATGATTTTGCGGTTGTCATCGAAAAAGAATTTTTTCTTGCAATTTTTACGCAAATATTGGGCAGCCCAAAAGGTAAACTCCTTTTATATATAAATCAAGCTGTTTTTGTTTTTCCAAAAGGTTTAGGGTATCATTCGATAGAGCAAAGCCAGCTTTACAAAATGACCGTCAGAGATTTGCCCAAGTCGTAATCCAGGTAAAATTTGGAGCCGAAATCAACATTTATCACTTACCCTCAATTCGGATCTCCTTCCCCCAGACATTCCTAGGAACCTCCAACTTGGTCATTATTGTAAGATCTCCAAATTGTACTCGTTAAAGCTTGTAATATACAATGACATATGTGGGAGGGGCTGGGGCGGAGTCTGCCATTTTTGGACTATCTTTTTTCTCGCTTTCTCTGCATGGAAAAGTTCGGTAGAAGCAAATTTGAGTACTACCATGTGTCTACAATATAATGCCCAATTTAGAGATCCCTAGGAATTTTTTGCAAGAAACCATTTTTTAGATAATAAAATTCTTTTCGATTTTGGCTTCAAACTTTGCCTGGATTATGATTTAGGGGGTTTTGGTGATCATTTTATGTAACTTGCTTTGCTCCATCGAATGGTACCCCAATTCTGCTACGAAAACAAAAACGATTTCATTTACAGGAAATTGATTTTGGTACAACCTGATAATATTTTCTCTGACTGTTCTTGATTCTTTCCCTGTGACACTATAATACTATACAGAAATTTATATGCGACATCTCTACAAACCGTCAAAAATGACCCATATCATTTTCTAACTGACCTCTTATGATAATGCTCAATAATTGTAGACCGATCGCATTATATGAAAACTCAGAATTGTCATGCAACTTTGCGGTTTCCTCAAGTCATTTTCTATTTGGCAACTTGGAAGTATTTTTACCATTTTATTTCTCTTGCCATCAGTTATGTTTCTCTTGTGCTCATTCTCAAACCCTGTTCGTTTTTCGCAATCGTTTGCTCACCTCTACGGCTGGGGAGAAATTTGACTCAGCACTTGAAAAGCAGCTATTCACGTTTTTTTTTTCAAGCCGCAAATTCCTGATGTTTTCTTTAAAACATAGAAATTTTTAGAGACCAGTAAACATGGACGATTCTCTCGTGATCTACTTGTACATCCCCAACTATCTGAATCTCGTGGAAAAATGCCAATTTTATTCAAAAGAAAGCAATTTATTCTGAAAAACCTAAGCAATCTCTACTTTTTCTTCTTATCTCACGCTATATTCTCTTTATAGCTTTTGGATAGAACCTAGAAGAGTGCAGCGAAATTTGAATGTAGCAGATAGCAGGAAAAACATTGTACAAACATTGTAAAATGCAAAATACCCGAAAGTGCATCCGTTCTATTGTGACTGAACAGCTGTTTCTAATTTTGGAGGAAAAATGGCAGAATTTCTCAAATACAGGGCTCGGCACGAAGTGGCTAGATCAAAATGGAAAAAACGAAGTCTCCCTTGGCTTTTGGAAATTTTTACGAAGTCTCCTTTGACCCTCAACCAAATTTCCTCTAAAAACCTGAAAAATTCCCCAAACTCCCCCAAAAAACGAAACGTCGACTAAAAAAAACGTCGCCAAGTCGCCAATTTTGCATCTCTCTTCGGTCACAAAAACGAAACCCCCTTTGCTTTTCGTCCCAAAAACGATATCCAGCTTGCTTGTAAGCCACCTGTGCCGAGCCCTGCTCAAATATTTTCAAGCAAAAACTGCAGTCTTCTTCATCTTTCTAATTTATGACCTCGGAAACCATAACTTTCCATAGAAAAGCTCGATTAGCACAAACTTGGCACTGTTAGAAAGAGCAGCTTAAGTAGATTGTAGAGAACATGTTTCCAAATTCTGTAATGTTCCAGATTTTGATAAGTTTTTTTCAAAAATTGAAAGCTAGAGTGGTTTTCCTATTCGGATTTTTATCTCT